ACGTGGATTTTTCTCCGGTTTTTCCCTCCAGATTTAGAATCAACGTGTCTTGGGATGCTATAATTGTCCACGTGATAAGCCACTGCGTTGAACTATCATTGGGACATCTTTGAAAACTGCTGGACGTCTGTGAAAAAGAGACTCATAGCTCATCAGATTCCTTCATTATAAATACATATTCTAATTCTTATTAGTGGCCAGGTCGCTTCTGAAAGAGAGCTATATAGCTCAGTGGGCCTCACCTGGTAAAATAAAATAAAAATAGGTTATTGGGGGAGAAGCCGTGTCTCTGCACCTCGAGAAACGTAAATCGTCTTGGACTCGAGCGGCACCAGCGGCGAGGCTGCTGGTAGCGTGGATTCCCGCTTTGAAGTTTTAAACGGGGCCCGGCCGTGACTGCGAGCTAACGACAATTGACCCCCCAAGCCGCGGCGTGGGGGCCGCCGTGCAGCTTGACTCCCCCATAACCCGCTCGAGCTGCGGGGGTGGTCCAGCAGATGGGGAGTACAGCAAGTAGGTTCCCTGGGTGTTTTCGTCACGCCGCGCCTCTGTTTCGCTTCGCGCGTGCGAAGCGCCGCGCGTAAACCTGCGACGGATCGTTTGGTGACGCTGCGTTGTGGCAGCGGTGCACGGACAAGGCTTTTGTCTGTGGCCCAGGCAACCGTTGATATGGCCAATTAAAAAAATGTGGTCATCAGAAAAGATGTTATTATCATGTAAATTCCCATACGGCCCAATCCACTGTGCCTCTCTTCTGGCCTCTCCATTTTAGTGCTGTGAAGGAGGAGGGCCATCGCCCAAAACCCCCACACATTTCAATGCTGAAACTTTCTGAAAAGAGTTTTGAGACGGCGATGCTTTCTTTAACAATGTACTATTTTAAATGAATTTCCAAAGGGCATGGATTGTGTGCGTTTGGCACTGTTACGGTGAATGCTGAACTGGTGCACTGCTGTGGTGGGAGCTCTACCCTAATTTATTTTCACCCATTCCTGAACAAACCCATTTCTGGTGTCGTGTCAATATTTCCGTGTTGTCTGACCCACGGTAGCACTGCTTCTCACCCCGTAGAGAGACGGTAAACACGAAGAGGTCAGCGGCTTCCCTCTTGCGCTCACAGCAATTAGGGGCTCATCTCCAGATTACAGCCCTGAGCTTTGACTGGAAACTTCACATTCCTTTGGCAGTATATAAACAGACAGCTGCTGGTCACCTTTCAAAAAATGGTATGTTGAACTTCTTTCACACCATACGCACGCTCATCGGAGGTGCAGGTGAAGGACAACAAACTAAATACAAAAAGCAGTCCTAAAGAAATTAGGCTTCCATCTAGATGATTTGAAAGCGCATAGCTCCAGCGGCTTCCAAATATCGGAGGGAAGAGCGTTCCAGACGGTCGCAGAAGCGCATCTGAAAGCACGCGATGCGGTGACCATTGTCTTTGTTCGATGACGAGCCAAAAGTGACCGAGTTTGCCTCAGCCGGTGCAGGTCTCCGATTGCAGCCCAAGTGCCCCACCGCTGTGTCACCACCCAGCTGGATTATGCAAATGGGAGCATTTACGAATTCTCCCCTTCACAGGGAGAGCCAGGCAGGCATAGTAAACGTACGCAAAGAGTCCGTGCTTCTCAGGTGGGAGTAACAAACATTGGACCTGACAAAACTGTTACCTCTTAAACAACAAAAAAAGAAGCCTTCATTTATGTGATGGTCGTTTCGTGCAGTCATTTGAAATGCTGCGAGAATGCACTCCGGAGGCACAGGATATGGTTTTGTCTTTAGCACCACGAGTTAATGTGACCACCACAGCCTACCTGGTTGGAGTCACCACGTGGTCATGCTCGCTTAGCGGATGGATGTGGGATCGTTTAGGGCCACAGAGCGCACTCCGTACTAAGCGTGCGCCGGCATGCCACCAGGCTCGTGAAGTCATTTCCCCTTTTGGACCAGTTGGCTCCAACGCGAACGATGACGAGCTGCGAAAGAATGCGTTTCAGCGCTTCCACAAAACCTCAATTTTCGGTTTAGCCTTAATTCCCTTCATCTTGCCTCGCACAAACTACCGTGGTGAGCAACTCACCTCTGCAGCTGCAGGGTCATCTTGCATGTGGCTCTGGCGTGAGAGGCGTCTTGAGGTCGACCTCTGGAGTGTTCTCCACCGTGTGTCTCTGGCCTCTGTCGCCTCATGCCGTGGGAGGACTGCCTGCTCTACAATGAGGCTTCACACTGGACTCCGAGCTCATCCCGCGTCGTCGCGTCGTTGGCGCAAGCCTCGCTCGGCCGTCCCCGCTCCCCGCGTGTTGTACGCAATGAGCGAGCCAGGTCGGCTCGTCAAGAAGCAGCTGGAGACGCCGTCGTGTGCGGAAGAGGCCTCGGGCGACGCTCCGGCTTCGCTTCGCACCTCTGACGCGTGTTAGCGGCTCACCGCGTGAATCCTGCGTACACTATAAGCCTACACTTTAATCATTATGAGCACAGCACCGAATGCACTTTCACAATCGTATCACAATCGAGGGGCCAACTGGTCCCCCTACAATCTCAACGAGGCAATTAATCCTTTGTGGGAAGTCGACATTGGATGTCCTTTGATTGTGACTGTCCCTGCCATAAGAATGTGGAATTTGCACTTTCCTCGCTCAGGGCCATCAATGAGTACTACGCCACTGCGTGAGTGCCACCCCACTCACGACCTGCTTGTAACACGAACACGTTCCGTATGGGTGTAACCAATGACGATACAATGCAATATATATATGACCATATTCCCTGCTGTGTGAGATTATGTGCAGAGGATGTTAGTGAGATGGAGTTGACGAAAACAAGTGTTGTGCTTGGGTTCAAGTTCTAATAAATGAGAGTCTGCACCTGACGAATGTCTTGGTGCAAACAGAGTTGATACAAGGATTTTATAATAATGACAATAACAGGCAGAAATCGCAGTGTTTTGTGTATTCAGATTTCAGCAGAAACTGCCTTTACACTCACACGCGAGTCAGGCTTGCTGCTTAGAAATGAATCATAGTTCAAAACGCGAAAAAAGTTTCATGACTTCTCATTTGTGGCCCCTGTGTTTGTGACGGATGACTAAGCCAGACTCATTCCTTTCTGTCCATTCGCTGCAAAGAGTCTTAACATGTGAATGCTTTACCATCACTGTGAACCAGCTCCGAGAAATATTACCCAACAGTTTCCCTCAAAACGGGATGCTCCGTCGTCTCAAGGGATTTTGCACCGGTTGAAAATATTAAATTAAGAAAGAAAGACATACACGTGACAGCACGCGGACGGATTCAAGACGAGCTCTTTGTTGGGGGAGAAATAATTTTGGGGGCGCCGTGGTGGCGAGATGTTAACTACCTCGCCTGTTATACAGCAGGACTTGGGTTCGATCCCTACCCCTGACGCCTGCTATATGTTGGAGTTTGCGTGTTTCTCTCTCCCCGTGGTCGCGTGGATTTTCTCTGGGTCCTCCGGTTTTCCCCTCCACATTTAGAATCAACATCACGCGTTTCGAGTGTTTAGCTGCGATAAAATTGAATGTGATGATGATGAGCCACTTGGTTGACCTGTGATAGCCAGCGGTCGCTTCTGACAAAAAGAGTTACGTAGCTCGGTGGGCCTGACCTGGAAAAATAAAAATAATACTCCCACTGAGTTCGAACGTGCGACGCGTGCCGACGACGTCCGTGTCCACAATCGCGGCGTGCGTCGGGAATTCCCGCCGTGTCCTCGCGGTGTGCGCGCTGCAACGCGGAGGGGGCGAGCTCCCCGAAGGAGCCGCGTCTGGCTGCGCGAACGCCGTCCGCCGGCTTCCTCCTCTCCCCTGACCGCCCCCACCGCCCCCGGAGCTCCGTGCGTGTGCGTTACCCAGTGGCCCGTTGCTCCGACGAGACGGACGTCGTCAAACGGCTCGGGACAACGCCCCTCGGGGCGTTCGTCGCCATCGTCAAAGTGTTTAAGCGGCGCTTAACCCCGCCGTGTTCGCTGTCTTGTCGCGTTAATGGGCTGTGTCAGGCGCGCTGGCGGCATTTTTTCTCTTTAAAAAAACGATCCCTCCACCTGCTTGCGGAGCTCATGGGAATGTGTAACGTGACCCCCGCCGCATTGACGGCTTTGCGTAATCGCACCGTTGCAAGGGGTCTTAACCTGATTCGATATAAATTGACTCTGTTCGTTATCAGACGCGGCGATTGACGACATTTGTTCGGTTTAAAAATAGATACCTCTGAGTCATTGATTGGGATTTTTTTTGTAAGTGGATTGGAAACTAATTTCTTCAGAACTGCTTTTTGTGCTTTAGTGCTGCTGTACTTCCACCCCCGTACCTACAATTAGCACGGTTGGCTACGTACGGTGCGAAAGAAGTTCAGCGTACATACATACATAGACTCACATAGAGACCCACAGATTCACACAGAGACCCATTTCTTTAGAACCGCTTTTTGTGTTTAGTTTGTTGTCCTTCCCCCCCGAACCTCCAGTTAGCACGGTTGGCTACGTACGGTGCGAAAGAAGTTAATCGTATGAGAATAGGTTTTCCCCTTTTTTCTGCCAACAAAACAGGAGTTTAGATGTTAAAACACCAAACTGAAACCTTTTACAAGGAATCATGTCTGCATTAACCACAATGCCTGTGGTCAGAATGCAAACAAAAAACACACTCTGATAATATATGCATTGTCTTTGAGAGACAGCTTTCTTTGGAGGCTAGTCTCACAAGTATTGTGTTTAAAGCAGACGTGATTCTTTGCAAAAAGGTTTCAGTTTGGTGTTTTAACATCTTAACACCTGTTTTGTTGCCAGAAAAAAGGGGAAACCCTATTCTCATATTTTGGTACTGGCAAAGGAGGTCCCATGATGAAGTTAATCGTACTCACACATACATACGCACGGCGATTAGAAGACGCGGAGGGGATGTATCTCAGACGGTTGAAACCTCGCGCGTTTGCATCGGTTGGTAACCATGCGGTGGTGGTGTTGTTGTTGTTGTTGTTGTGCAGACTGCGTGGGCACTGAGAACAAGATGAGCCTCCTGGGCAGTGCCGAGAAGCAGTACAACACCCTGCGGAGCATGTACACCAACTGCGAGGTGGTCATGGGCAACCTGGAGATCACCTACATCCGGAACGGCTCCGACCTCTCCTTCCTGCGGGTGAGCCAGACCAACGGCGGCCCTAAATAGTTTAGGGCCACGGGCCCAGACCACGTATATGGCTTGTTCTTCTTTTTCTTTGGCAAAGCGAATAGCAACTCTTAACTAAACTGAACTATATATTTTTGTATTTTACCAGGTAAGGCCCACTGAGCTGTATAGCTCTTTTTCAGAAGTGACCTGGCCACAAATGATAGCTCAAAGAAGTCACAGCTAAATACACTAAACGCATGCAAACTCCAAATATACAGCAGCAGGCATCAGGATCAGGATCAGGATCAAACCCACGACCTACTGCATACAAGGCGAGGTCGTTGACATCTCGCCACTTTTTGAAAGCTACAAATAGTGACTACGGTAACATGCGTGCGTCGGTAATTCGGAAGAAGCCAGCGGTCAAGCTGAACAGCGAAAGATTACATTAACCTGCACAGGGGGCAATCAAAATAAAGACGAACGGAGAGACCCAACTCGGGAACACAAGCGCAGGATGTGGTCAGTCGTATAGAGAGAGAGAGAGAGTAACAACAATCGCCACGCGAGATCCACAGCCGGCAGCGGTGAGATGCTGGGTGAGAGTTGAGAGAGCGGAAGAGAGGGGCTCTAGGAAACAAGAGGAAACGCCATGAGAGACACAGGGAGAGCCAGGAAACACAGAGAGAGATGATGAAGAAGAGTGGTTGGAAGAGGCAACACGTTGTTAGGAAGCCACTGGAGCTATGCACTTTTTTAATCATCTAGATTGAAAACTCATTTCTTTAGAATTGCTTGTTGTTGTTGTGTCTTAGTTTTGTTGTTATTACCCCGCACCTACGATTAGCACGGTTGGCTACGTGTGGTGCGAAAGAAGTTCAACATACGAAGGAGATTGAGATGAAAGACACGTTTTTTCATGAGGGAGATCGGGGGAGAGAAAGAGTTTTAAAATAGACTGGGTTGAGGAAATAAACAGGGAGACGTTAAAATCAACCATTTCGGCAAGCGGCAGTCACAGAGACAACGTAAAAGAAAGATACTCGATGGGTAGAGCTCTAAAAAGACGAGGAAGAGACACGTCTCTATATATGTGTGTGTGTGTTGAACATCTTTCGCACCATACGTAGCCAACCGTGCTAATCGGAGTGTGTGGGTGGGGGGAAGGACAACAAGCTAAACACAAAAACAGTTCTAAAGAAATTAACTTGCAATCTAGATGATTTAAAAGTTTATAGCTCTAGCGGCTTCCTAATATCAGAAGGAAGAGCATTCCAGACGGCTGCAGAAATGCATCTGAAAGCACGCGACGCAGTGACCATAGTTTTCTCGATGGTTAGACGCGTGTAAGAGAAGAGGCATAGGGAGAGAAAAAATACGTAGAGACAGAGAGAGTGCTTGTGTCTTGGCTGCGAGCTGGAAGAGCAGGGATTGTGGAGCTGCGTGGGGTTTTCGGGAGCTGGTGGACACAGGGGCCCTTCACATTGAATTCCATTCCTGCACCCGCACGAGGGTCAAACGTTCCCCTTTGTCGGAGGCGTCAAAGGCCCTTGTTTCAGAACGGGCCCGCTGCATGTGCAGAATGCCTTGGCCTGTAATCATGGTGCAGTGAGTACAAATAACTCGCACGTGTCACTCACGTTATTGCATTCATTCATATTTTAATGTTACTGTGTCCGTGGTTTTGCATCAACGCCGCTGCATTATTGTTTCTTAAACGTATTGTGCCTTTGTTAGAAGGTTTATTGGCAAAAAATAGTGATTGCGTCCGATGCAAGTCCACACCACGGTGGCGAGGAGATGTCATCTCCCTCGCCTGGGGCGCAGGAGGTCGTGGGCTCGAAGCCGGACCCTGGCGATGGCTGTTGTTGTACGTTTGGAGTTGGCGTGGTCTCTCTTTCTCCCCGTGGTGGTCGTAGTGGGGGCTGTTCGTCGGGTTCCTCCGGTTTTGCCCCCCTCCTCACACATTTTGTAGTCACTTTAAGATGTTTCTTGTTCATGGTTTTGTTTGTTGCGGTTGCACCCGAGTCAAGAGCCGCATGGCTCACAGGGTAACACCTAATACATTAAACTGAAAACAACTGAAACATTGAGAAACAACGTGCGTTCAGATTAGTTGGTTGCGACTACAAATTCCCACGCGTAATGATGATATAAGCCACTTCAACGAGCCATAGTCACGTGTGGCCAGATTACCGCTGAAAAAGACCCAATAGCTGAGTGAGCTTGACCTGATGAAATAAAATACTTTCGTTTTTATAAGTTCATCATCATTATTAGTATACAAATTGTTTCTAAATTACTCGGTTATCAGCATCTTTGGTTCATACGATTCACTTAATATTTTGCAAATTAAATAAACGGATCAAAGTATGTTTTATGCATTATAAGGACTGTACTTTACTGTATTTTTGGCCTTTCTATGCCCATGCAAACGTAACCACATTGCTCTGAACTTTGCCAAAATCCCTCAGGGGAAAAAAACATACGTGTAAGTACCTGAGCACATACCTGAATTTAAAAATTAAACGTGCCTCAGAGTAATTTTCGATTTATGAGATGACATTTTTGTGGTGGTGACGCTGCTGCTGCTGCATTGGAAGTGGTGCACAAGCACAGAAAACAACAACAACAACACCACAACGCATTCGTCAACAATAACAGTGTGGCCTTACAAGGAATTGTAGATACAACAGGTGATGTTACAGGCAATGGCCCTTCTTCTTAGCACTCGGATGGATGAGATATTGCCCAAAACATTGCATATTAAAGCATTCCCTCGTTTGTCGCGAGATACATTCTGGGGATGCTCGTGACGAGCGAATTTCCCACGATATTGGCGCACCTGAAACAAATAATCTATAAACAAACAGGAAAGGTATCGACGATATCTCTCATCACTTTATCTCATCATATTCTCTCTCATCACTTTATCGCTCATCACTGTATCTCTCATCACTTTATCTCTCATCACTTTATCGCTCATCACTTTATCTCACCATATTCTCTCATCACTTTATATCATCACTTTATCTCATCACTATAACTCATCACATTTTCTCTCATCACTTTATCTCATCACTTTATTTCTCATCACTTTATCTCATCACTTTATTTCTCTCGATGCAGTCGTGTAGAGTTCCAGATGCGATTCGGATAGCCACGTTCTTGAAGAACGAGGGAATACTGAATATGCAGTTGTTTCCTCCTTTTAGGGCCACAGTGTTAATGCAAAATGTACATAAGGTAGACACGTAGGCTTTCGTGACCAATATAATTCATAATAAAGTAGTTTTTTTCTTATGAAGAGACGATATGTCTGCATAATTCGTCTTGAACTAGTTACCTTGACCGTTTAAATTCCTCGACTTCTCCACAAGTTGCTGGAGTCGCGGCGTCACTGTCGATCGCTGTTTATCACGTAGTAGTCGTCGACTTATGCGACCGATAACATCCGACATGAACGTTTCTTTGGTTAGATCGTATAAGTATAAACGTGTCGTTAAACCCGCCACCACCCGACATGGCTAATCAATAAGGTTTTTCACGTAAACAAAACGTGTCAATTCGTTTCAAGTTCAGTAATTAGAACGCCAACAACAACGAGGCTCATCAGGTGACAGCCAGAGAATTGTGGACAAATCCTCCCTCCCTCTGTCGTTTCCGCCGTTCGCGGCCGCTGTGCGGTGTGCGCGGGGGTGCTCCAGACGATCCGGGAGGTGTCGGGCTACGTGCTCATCGCGCTCAACGAGGTGGACCACGTGCCGCTGGAGAACCTCCGCGTGGTGCGCGGCACCCGGCTCTACGACCAGCGCTACGCCCTCACCGTGCTGCTCAACTACAACGACTCCGTGCCCGAGGAGCGCCTCGGACTCAAGGAGCTGCGGCTTACTCGCCTCACGGGTAAAACTAAAGCTGTTTTTATTTTTATTTTGCCAGGGGTAAGGCCCATTACTGGGCTGTGCACAGCTCTTTTTCAGAAGCCAGCTGGCCGTCACAAATGATAGCCCAACGAAGTGGCTTATCATCACGTGGACATTTATAGCAGCAACATACTCTGAATACGTGATGTTGATTTTAAATGCGGAGGGAAAAACCGGGGAGAGAGACACCGCAAACTCCATATATACAGACATCAGGGTCGGGATCGAAACCACGACCTCCTGTATACCAGACAATGTAGTTAACATCTCACCAGCGTGGCGCCCACTCGCAGGTAACATAATCACGGGTAACGCCTTCCCGGATAACTCCCTCGACGGCAATGCCCTCATGAGCAACGTCTTCGCGGGTAACGCCCTGACGGGTAACGCTTCGCTGGGTAATACCGCTGCTAGATAACATATCCTAGCCACCGTGTCACCCACACGAGTCGGAGGGATTGGGCACAGATCAGCTGTGACTGTAAGGGGTGACACACACACGCGCGCAGCGGGGGCGTGTGTGTGTGTGTCGAGTCAGCGCGTGGATCTCTGCCACGAGAATTCCACCTCCCTCCCCCTCCCTCCGTCGTGAGGCCCACGCCACTGGATGGTAAATGGTGGAGAAGTCGATGCATTGCCGTCCTTTCTCCTTGGCGACTGCGCCAAAGCGAGACTTGTCACGCAGAATATAGTCACGGGCTACCGAAAGGGGGTTGTGAACTATAATAATGTATGTAGAGGTGATGTGTGGATCGTTTTGTGGGCCCTCACATGGGTTTTGGCATTTTAACACATTTGTTGTTGTAACAGCATTTCGATATTGTATTAAAAATCGGTGTTAATGTTTACTCGATTATGATTTATGTCATCTATATACGGCCATGATCCTGATGACTGTATATGCACGAAGAGATGCAGACAAAACACCTCAGTATAAATGGATTGGCAGCAGTTTAAATTTGCGATCTCATTCAAAAGTTTAGGCCTGGGGCCATGGGCTAGAAATGACCATGGGTGACACTTGTGCGGACTGACAGTAGCGTGTCTTGTTGCTGCACAGGCTGAGTGAAGACAATCCATCGTGCCTCTCAATCACTGGCAATGGGAAATTCCCAACAGGTGCATTCACAATCTCCATTGAATAGCCGCTGCACGCTAACTCGGAGGCACGGTGGCTTTTTTTACGGCCACCGTTAAAAACTGCTCACGCGAGCCCAGCGTGTGATCGTGTGAGCAGGGCCTCGCCCAGGAATGTGTCTCCTAAGTGGAAGACCGGCACGCGGCCGACACATTTTCTCGAATTTAAACGAAGTGATGATGATGATGTCGGTGCCGCTGCGGCCGTGTTGCCGGTGGAGCGCCGAGCACACCACCTTCTTCGTCGTCATCTTGTACTTCTTCTCGCGTTTGGAAGAGCGAACAGCAACTCTTAACTGAACTCATCAATTTTTTTTATTTTACCAAGTAATGTCCACTGAGCTCTATGGAGCTCTTTTTCACAAGCGACCCGGCAAACACAAATGAGAGCTCAACGAAGTGGCTTATCATCAGCTGGACATTTTTAGCAGCCAAATATATCCTAACGCATGTAGAGGGAAAACCTGGAGGATCCGGAGAAAAATCCACACGACCAAGTACAATACTGATTCCACAATTTAAGTTTCAACTGGTTGTTGAACCTTCTGTAGGTTCACGGAATTGAGTTATAACAGTATTGTAGCGGGAATGATAACTTTGCACTGTTACAGTGAAATTCATGGTAATACTGTATAGTGATAGTGAGAGGATGTGAGGTTAGTACGGTAATCATTCACACGATATGCACCTGTGCCTGGTCGTGGGTTCGATCCCCCGACCCTGACGCCTGCTGTATTTCCGCGTGATGAGAAGCCACTTTTGTTGAGCTATCATTTGTGGCCAGGTCGCTTCATTCCCGCTGGGTCTGATAAACGAGTACCGCTTTTTCTGGCTCCTCTTGCGCTCACACTCTGCTTGCGCTGTGATTTTTTTCAACTTGCGCGCATGTTGCGTTCACGACCATTAACCACCTCCTTTGCTGTGCAATATACCTTAACGCACCGCGAACAGAGACGACGCACCGTGCACAATCGCTCCAACGCCCCCTCCACTGTCCCCCCCAACGCCCCACCACCGCTCAGAAATCCTGCGTGGAGGCGTCTACGTGAGCAGCAACGAGTTCCTGTGCCACGCCAACACCGTCAACTGGGACGACATCCGCAACCGCAACAGCAAGGAGAACTTCAGCAGCCGCCTCGACTTCACCACCAGCCAGTCCTGTGAGCAGCGGCGCCGCGTCCCTCCGTTTGACCGTCTCTACGTTTCTCCGTCTCTCCGTCTTTGTCTCTCTGCCCGTCCATTTGTCTGTCTCTTCGTCTCTCCGTCTCTCCGTCTCTCCGTCTCTCTGTCTGTCTGTCTGTCTCTCCATCCGTCCATCCATCTCTACGTCTGTCCATCCATCCGCCCGGCCCGTCGTCGTCGTCGGCGCTGCGACGAGCGACGAGAGGGTCGTCTGAAGCACCGGCGGTGCGAACCGAAGCACTCGCGTCGGGGAGGGGGTGGGGGGGGGTCGCCCCGTCGTTGTTGATGTGGACTTATTTGCGCGAGTCGATCCTCCAGTTCGCGTGTGGAAGCTTAAATAATCTGTGTAAAGTTAAAAAACAAACAAACAACTAACTCAACACATTCGTCAATGACGCTGGTGACCTTATGAGATGAACATTTTTATCTTAAACATTATATTTAATGATTGACGTTTCTGGCAATGGTCCGTCTTCATAGCGCACGGTTCCCACTGTGAAGAAGGGCCATGGCCCCAAACATCACCGATTATACACTTTGGTGTTTAAAGAGCACAAGTGTTGTTATAGACTAAGGGTGTTGAGTGTGTATTTATTTATTTATTTGTGCTTGCGCGCCGCTGCTAATGCAGCAGCATCAGCATCACCAAATAATTTGTTGAATAATGTGTAGGTCAGGGTCGGTCAGTGAGCGACTCATAATATAAGGAATGAATACGTGAGTGTCACTTTGTCCCGTGAACGTGCTTATGCAAGGAAAATCAGGCTGCTGTGCATAACCATCAGACAAGGTGACGGGGGCATTTACAGAATGAAAACTCCACACGTAGTCCTTAGTTGTTCTTACTGGGGTTGGTGACATCTTCTTTCTCCGGTTTATGAGGATGCATATTTTCGAACACGTTGTGTGTTAACTTAACACGTAGATATTTTGAGCCATTTTTGTTTGCATAAGGGCTTGTAACGATCGAGCGAATGTATGTATGTCGAGAAACCCGTCCACCACTCAACAGAGGCCGTTGTTACGTGTTTCACCTCACTCACCGGTGACTTGAGGGACAGCCACATTTAGCATTTAGATACAGATTGCATATTGCAAAGTTTGGAATTGTTCTTTAAGTCTGGCCACATCATTCTGTGGCCCAACCCACGAATACATTTTGGATCACAGAAATTGTTTTAATCTTATTTTAGCCACAATTCTCCCTGCCACGGACTCTTCATGCCAACCTAACAGTCGAGAGAGTGACGCGGCATTCCCGGGTGGCCTATTTGTCGTAACATTTTGGAGATTGTCTCGAAGTCCATGGGAAAATGTATTGGCTCCTGATTTTCTGTGCACATTTGCGTCCGTGGACATTGAGGTGACAGGCAGGAGGCGTTACATTACACCCACTGGGGGACATCGATTGTGCTGTTTGGTTTTTGCCTGTGGTAGCTTGTGACTTCAATAGCGTTTCATGTCAGCAAATAATCACTCAAAATATTTGGTTGATTGATTGAGGACCTAAAGGGAGAATGGCAATGGAAATTATTATCGTGTTTTATATTTTGCTATAGGTAAAGAAGTGTACATCATAAGTTGTCGTGACACAAAAAAACACAGAATGATAAGACCTGTTTCGTCTCGTGTGGAATGATTATTGGAGTGAATTTCGTACTTCAAAGGCACTGGGGGCCTTGCAGTGACAATCGCGTAGTGGATGTGCAGTGCTCACACAAGCAGTCACTGCACGATCTTGGGTTACCCACTGCCCTGTGGATTCAAATGAGTTACTATATAAAAGAGTTAACACTTTCAGGCACCACTTTTGGGAGTAATATAACTTTAGAAGTTGTTACTTCCAGACACAGTGCTTGATAAATAACATGCGTTCTAGATTTGAAGCTTTCGTGACTGCAAGGATTCATATTCTTAGGTTTTTTCGGTAAAGTCACGTAGGTAAAAAATTTAAATTAATAAAAGTAAAATAAAAATAAAATCAAAATCACGACGTTTAGGAGAAAGGAAACGTCATATCTCTGATCGTGTCCACGAGCACAAGTCAGATCTGAAACACGGCAAAACTGATTCTTCCGCCATTGCCGATCATTGCTACAACGCTGTGGGCTCTCATGAAATTGTCTTTTCTGAGACTAAGGTGCTCTGCAAGCCTCCTGGCTACCATCAAAGGTTTGTACACGAGGCCATCCAAATATACAAACACAGACATAATTTCAACCGTGATGATGGGTACAAACTTAGTAATCATTGGAAAGATGTTATTAACCATGCAAAAAATATTTAACTACACATATTTGGAGCATTCCTGGCAGCGATTTCAGCCGCACCACCCCTACATAATAATAGGCTCAGTCAACCATTCTACACAACAAAGACTCATTTCCTGGCAGCGATTTAAGCCGCACCACCTCTACATAATAATAGACTCAGTCAACCATTCTACAAAACAAAGACTCATTTCCTGACAGCGATTTAAGCCGCACCACCTCTACATAATAATAGGCTCAGTTAACCATTCTACACAACAAAGACTCATTTCCTTGCAGCGATTTCAGCCGCATCATCTCTACATAACAAAAAGGCTCAGTCCCTTTTACACGCACCTTTACATCATCCGCACCTAGTTTACACAACAAAGGCTCATTCCTAACAGCGTGCTTCAGCCGCACCGAACCTCACAAAAATAATATTCAGGGCCTACCTTGGCTCCTCCCACCCTCAACCAGTATATATACAAATACTGTGTTCTTGGAATTTCTCTCACTTGATACAGCTATCGTGCTGTGACGGTTCCACCTGAAGACGGAAGCTTGTGTTGCCTCCGAAACGTCGTGATTTGAATTTTTTATTTATTTTAATTTTACTTTTATTAATTTAAATTTTTTACCTACGTGACTTTACCGAAAAAACCTTAAAATAGCATGCGGTTGACCGTCTGGCTGATTGGAATCGTATTTTCGAAGAGTGGCTCTTGGCTCTTAACGTGCGTCCGAAAAGCTGGGCAAAATGAAAGTTACCGCTCATATTTATTCTCCAGAGCACTTTGAAAGCAACGCTCTTTAAATGTAATTTGGGAGGAAAAGTCCTCACCGTTTCGTTACCTGTGCTAAATAAAAATCGGATATCTCTCAATGGGCATCGTATGACTTGTGGCACGGAGACACAGGAGAGGGAATCATTATACTCACTCCAGTCTGAGCAACACTTGCAAACTACCGGCACGCAGCCCGATGGTATTCACAGTAATCAATCACTTAGAGTGAATTTATTCACCTCCCTGCGATTTGTGAATTTCAGTTTGGTGAATTTGATTAATGGTGATTGTACGCTAAAACACGAATAATCGTCGTGTTATAATAACACAAGAAGAGCACCGCAAATAAGAGTTAATAATATTAATAAAGGCACGTTTCGCAAGATAATGTTTAAAACGAGGTTCGTGCGCTGAGCATAAGTTGAGAGGCAGAGAAATTGGCGGCGTCGTTTGGGTGACTTTCATCGGCAAGTTTTAAAAAAAAGTGGGCATCAAAAACAAAGAAAATGTAATTCTCATCAGGCCCCATGGTGCAGAGGGGAGTCTCCAACTCTTACTATCCACTCCGTCTCTCCGGTAAACATTTCTGTTGCGAGGTTCACACCTGGAGAAGCACAACGGACGATGTGCACCCGTGAGTTGGTGAAGGCGGACAGCCCGGTGGTCTTGACTGAGAGGCCACCGTACCAAAAAGATTTAGAGCAACTAAATTATGCTGTTCACGTAGCTACTTATTAAATGTTGAACGGATTATTTGACGATGCTGCTACGTTGGTGAGTGGTGCATAAGCAACAAATAATAATACATGAATAAAATCCTCAACACATTCATCAACAACGCCACCCCAAAAGGAAACATTATACACGATGTTTCAAAACAGCACCTATTAACTATTTGTCGGGCAATTGCCATGGCCTTCTTCATAACACGTGACTCACGCGCTATGAAGAAGGTCCATTGCCCAAAACGTTGGCTGTTATATTCCCGTTTTGAAGGCCACGCATTTTGTTATTGAGTTATTTTCGTTATTTGTACTTGTGCACCACTGCCAACGCAGCAGCAGCATCGCCAAATTACTTTGTCTCCAAGGAGTTTTTCGGACGAGCGTGCAAATCACGAATATGTATAAAATAATTCGTTATTAAATGCATAAGGCAACGTCCCTGCTGTGAGTGACTGCGTGAAAACCGATGTCTGCAGGCCAGCCGTGCCACCCTTCGTGCAAGAACTTCTGCTGGGGATCGGGACCACAGTACTGTCAAACATGTAAGTGACGCGTCCGCGTTGTGCATCACCACTCCACCGGCTCGTCACGCGTCGCGGCCGCCCCTAGCACGGCCACGCATCTCCAACTCAACACCAGGGCAGGATCGGTGCTGAGCATTTGGCCACAGCATTAAATTAAACAGATTTTTTTTATTTTATCAGGTAAAGCCCACTGAGCGATGTAGTCGCTGTTTTTCAGAAGTAGCCTGGCTAATTGTCATTTGGACATTTATAGCAACTCAAGTACTCTAAGCGCATGTTTCTAAATGTGGAGGGAACATGCAAATTCCAAATATACAGCAGCAGGCGTCAGGGTTGAGGATCGAACTCACGACCTCCTGTATTCCAGGACGAGGTAGTTATCATCTCGCCATGGAGTGGCTCCCTTTCAGAAGTGACCTGGCCACAAATGATAGCTCAACAAAGCAGCTTATCACGTCGAAATTTATAGCATACAAATAATCTAAACGCACTTTTCTAAATGTGGAGGGAAAAGCCAGAGGATCTTCTGAAAAACCCACGGGACCACGGGGAGAGAGACACGCAAACTCCAAATATACAACAGGCGTCAGGGTCGGGATCGAACTCACCGCCGCACGCTGCACATTCAGAATGTGACTCGGCAGCGCTGCGACAGAGTGCTGCACTAACAGTGACAATACATATATCAGTCCCTCCAGAAAAACGCGATTATGCGATCGCAAGATTCCACGCAAAATCAGCCAAAGTCCGCATATTTATGCGGGGGGCGCGTTTTTTCAAATACGCCGCACTTTCGCTGCATAAATTGCAGATTTCCGCGCGCAAAATATGCGGGCTTGCATGATTTCATAATCCCCGCATTTTCGTTGCAAAAAGTCACATATATCTTAGCAGAAAGTTGAAAAATGTTGCGTTTACTTCACACAAGCGCAGCCATTTCCCCTGTTGCCATGGGAACGTTATGAAGTGACGTCACTCATTACGCGACATCATTGAAAAGCTGCATACCCCGCGATGCCAATGAAACCATGATGAAGAGTTTATGCAACTTTACAGTTGTAAGATTGCACTTTTTTGTTAGTAGTATGTAAATTTACATTACTGTAAGACTGTACTGTGCACTGAAAACACTTATTTTAACAGAAGATGTCTGTTTTGTATAGCTACCTCTGTAAAACAGGAAGCACACATTTTATTTTTTAATATTTTATTTATTCATTTTTACAGAAGTTGTAGCATATTCATTTTGTAAAGCTACAGAACTTGTTCGACTCAATGTTTTGTAAGTTTGAGCCATCTGTTTGTTAAGGTCTGAAATAAAACAAGATGAGAACTTAAATATTCCCAGCACTTTCTGTGATGTAGTATGCTTGCTTATCATAGGAAGTAATAAGAAATGACTCTTTACATTAAAGTAGTAGCCTAGTGAATAGGGTGTTGGGGGAATCACTTTTTTTCTCTTTTTCATCAAACCGCAGTTTTTGCAAGTTCCCGCAATTTTTGCAAGTTCCCGCAATTTAATCGCGTAAAATTGCATAAATATCCCGCATATTCCATCGCATTTTTTAAGAAAACGTGCCGCATAATCAACGATTTTTGCCCGCAACAATCACCAAAAAACTCCGCGTTTTTCTGGAGGGACTGATATATACGTTTTTGTCATCACCATCATTGAGATTGCTAACAGCCACGTATCATCATGTTTTCAAATACCTCCGATAATCACAGGGCGAGTTAATGCACACATTGCGTTCCACCGCCTCATATCGAAACGCCGTCAAATTAAATTTGCTTGAATGGACAAGGGGGGTACAATTAAGCTGCGTTCGTCAGAGCGTTAACCGGCTGTTGTGGTGGTGGTGGAGAGCTGGTGGAGCGGTTGGTGTGCTGGTGACCTGGAGTTGGTGGTGGTGTGAGTGACATCGAAACCGCTGTCGGTGAATTCGATCCCGCTTCACCGGTCCACGCTGATCGGCTTGGTGAAGTATAGTTTCATAAACCCCGTCACTGAAACGGCTTGGGGAGGCTTTTATCCATCAGTGTACTGACAAAGGTTTGTACATTATTATTTAAATTGCCATTATATTAGTTAACATCTCGCTTGACTTAATAACCATTCTGAATAACGGATTAAATGTGATTTATTCCTTCTCCACAAAAGGTGTCAGTAGGCGGGACTGCGCGTAATACAAATATAAAATATAATACAAATATAAATATAATACAAATATAAAATCCCACGATGACTATCTAAGTGGTGTGCATAAGCGTTTGCGGTAAGCAGTGCGAAGTTCTAGAATTAGCGCGCTTTTGATAAACTGGATCTGCGCCCCTGTAGATACATTTCTTCTGCTCACGCTGCTGTCATGATTGTCCCACTCCCGTAACCCCATCGGGGTCACAGTCACGAGCACAATCTGCGCCAAGCAGTGCGACGGGCGCTGCTACGGCCTCGACCCAAACCAGTGCTGCCACAAGCACTGCGCCAGCGGCTGCACTGGCCCCCGCGAGACCGACTGCTTCGTAAGCCCCCCCCTCCCCATCCCATCGCGCTCTCTCGCTCGCTCACTCACTCCAGGGGAAACCCTGCACTGCTTGGGAATTTCCTCCCATCGTCCTCCCTTTCCCCAGCAAGCTCTTGGAGGAGCCGCGCCTCAATTCAAGACAACGTGTTGTGTGGGCTCTTTTTCCCGTCACGATTTATGGACGGTGCCGTTTGTTGCTGGCCGCTTGATGGGGTTTGGGGCTTTTAGGACTGCACTGGGCAAATGCACAAAATTGAAGAATTAAAATGCATGGGAAAATCCCACTCATGGTCTACACACGTAGAGATTAAAGGCAACCTTAGTTGGAACTCAGACTCGGTGATTATTACTTCAGGTCCTCCCCCACTGCCCAGTTGTAAGGTTATAAGTTAATACATTTGTGGAAAAAAACTTTTCCCCAGTACGTTATATTGGTTGGCAATATATTGTAGTGAGCATAAATAAAGTTTTTTTGGGTTAGATCGCGTAAATATAAATGTGGCGGGTTAACGAAAAGTTTATACTTAGGCGTTCTCGCCCAAAAGCCTCCATGATGCTTAATAATATTGGTCGCGAAAGCCTACTACGTATTCAACCATTGTCATGCAGTCGACATGTACGTCGCGATCACCAACATTTCATTGGTGAACTACACAAGTTCCTTCAATCGACTTAAAAAAAAAGCACCCCCCACTTTACGCGGCCGTTTTCCTGGGTGACAGAGTGAAGCTCTTTAGCATCGAGCCGCAGCCCACGCCGACGACACGTTGATGCCTGCGCCATTAAACACATTCAGCGCTCCTTTGATTAGAGCAAACGTGAAAACCGACACCGTGCTACTGTCCATATTTAACTGGAGTTGTTTTGTCCGCAATGTAAAAGTGCGATTGGGGAAAAAGAGAAAAAATGGATCTCAAACGGCGAGTTGGCTTCCACGCAGTGCCTCGCGAGTGACGACACCGGATTAGCATCCGCAGCCGGAGAAAAACACGCGCGCCTGCTCCTGCAAACTGAGCCGGTATTTGCCCGAGTGTATCATTGGACCTGGGAGGGTCGCTTCTCCATCAACTTTGAAACCAGGGCTCTGTCCTCCCGCGCCCCCACCCTGACTGCCTCCCTGCCTCCTCTGAAAGGGCTTCAGACAAAGCGTTGTTCCGGTCAACCGTTACAAAGTCCTCAGTGCTCAGTGAAAAGAAAATGCTGTCCGCGTTTTTAGTGCTTTAGAATTCCCGCAGCCCGTCGTTAATTAGCAGCCGGACTGTAGATATCCGGAGCCCGTGCGGCCTGCAGTGCGATATCCCTGTACGTAAAGCACCCCCCCCCCTCCTTAACCACCTTCCGTTCCCCCCGTAAAGCCTCGCCTCTTCGCCATTGCCCATTATTTTCCTCTTCCCTCCCCTCCGCTCCTTCCCGTCCCTCCCCTACCCGTTCGTGATCCCCTAAGTACCCCTCTAACGCTGTCACTCATTCCTCCATACCACGTAGCACGCCCTTGACGACTCCCAAAATTCAATTTTGTGTCACCGTTCCGTAAGCTATGTCATCAAGCGCCTCGAGTGAAGGCGCTCTCCAGAAATATAAATATCAGTTCGTTAATCCCACACGCTCGCTCCCCCACTCGGCAATCTCAAGTTGCGTGCAGGCACAGCGGCGGACGATGTGACGGCATAGAGCGTGCTCCCCCCTCAACGTTTCACCTTCCGTCGCCGCTGAGTGAGACACCTGCGGGTGTGCGCGGGCTTGCCTGATACGCCACGGAGCTTCTAACACCTCCGTGCCCGCCGTGTCCGTTCGCGCGAAGGCGTGCAGAATATTCAACGACAGCGGCGCCTGCGTGGATCACTGCCCGGCTCCAGTCTTCTACAACCCGTCCACCTTCCAGCTGGAGTCCAACCCCAACGTCAAGTACAGCTACGGAGCATCCTGCGTCAAGGAGTGCCCCAGTACGTGCCCCCCCCCCCGCCCCCCCTCCCACTCCTGCCTACCGCCGGCCGCTTGCTGGAGCCGATGCATTGTCTCTGACGGGCCACTCGTCAAAGGGGCAATTACTCAGAGAGGCGGTATTTTCAAGTGTCACGCAAAGGCGGATTGTGGAGAGGGGTTATTATCGGGGACTCCAGAAAACACCTTTTTCTCGTCATAGGGCGGCTGATGTAGATGCAGAGCAATGACGACAACTTCACATTCAGGTGGTCAAGCCGGGCAACTGTGTCAGGAGCAGCGGAGTGCATTGCTTGTGCGTTTCATCGTTATATGTTGTTACGGTCTGTTCTGGATGCATGTAGGGCATCTGAGACGTGGGGGAATCAGGGCATCAATATTATGGTCTAGTATTGGTGTTTATGAAACACCGATCTAGGCTCTGTCAAGGCCCCCAGGCCTATAGGGAAAGTCGCCGTACCCTAGACTGGGTGGGTCGTGTGGGGGAAGGCGGAAAGATGGTTGCCGAGCCGGTCCACCGACCGAGGGGAAGACCTAAGGGCAAATGGTGGGACACTGCCAGGGCAGATCTTGGAGGTCACTGTGTGGTAGCAGCTGTGGCATCAGGCAGAGGTGTAGATTAAAACAAACGGTGCTCTTCACACATTTTCGGAGGGGGGGTCACTTTCGCCGATACGACATCGTCAGTGTGAGGGCCGCCACACATTTAAAACCATTGGGGGTTTGATAGCAGCACGATGATGATGGTGGGGGGGAGGGTGTTTCCCACATTTTGTGTCTTGTCGGGGGGCCACACAAAAGGCCACCAGGGGTGGCCAGTGGCCCGCGGGCCTTGCAATGAGGAACACTGGGTACAAGTGCTGTTTTCGAGGTGCGGTGGTGACATTGACGGCTATGGCCACGGTCTTGAAAAGCAACATGGAGGTTTAAAGCTGTTGAGGGATGCACACAAATGCGATTGATTTCTTCAGCACTAAAAGACAATTTTGAGTTTTAGAATTGAGAAAATATTTTGTTAAATAACATTCGCGTTTAAATGCAATTATAACCGGATTCCACGATATATATTTCTAATTTACATTGCATGTTCAATAATACACCCACTCGAGTTATATATATATGTGTATAATCTAATGGGATTTGTGAAAGAAACAATTCACTTAGCTACTATTAACAGAACAGTTAAAGATACATTTATATGTATGTGTGTTACAATGAAACTGGTTTAATATGGAAATGTACTTCCTGCAAAGTATACAATAATGCAATTTGCATAGGCATATGATCTAGGGGTGGGCAAATTGCTTTCATAATCATGCACGTGAGCCGAGTATTCTGCAGCAAAGGAGCATACTGTACGCGTCCACAGTAGGGCCCTCTGTGCACACTGCCTGAGCAGTATCGACACATTTGTACACTTATGTACGCACGAGTACACTTATGTACACGTCTGTACACTTATGTACACATCTGTACCCTTATGCGCTGCATGTACAGGGAATATGGGTATAAAAAATATATATTTAGCACTTTCCTCAATACACTGTTGGATGAAGGCATTCGCACGCTTTGTTTGACCATACTTTACCACGCTGCTCGCAGCAGATTGGTGAGAGGTGGGTGAGGAAGCGGGAGTGGAGAGGGGTGGTGGGACCGGTTCAGATTTCGCACGCCACTGATGTAAGCCGTGACCACAAATGTATATATGTTGAGGTGGGATCGGCAGATGGCCGTGGGGGCTGTCAGTTGGGGCAATGAAGGATGTGCAATCGTTGGATCTATTGGTAGAACCCGGTGTGGATGTGGAAGTTCGTTGCACAGACGTTGGTTGTTGTTGTTGTTGATTTCCCCGCAGGGAATTTTGTTGTCGACTACAACTCCTGCGTGCGCTCGTGCCCCGTCAACAAGACCGAGGTGGAAGATGGCAGCGGAGTGAAGCACTGCAAACCCTGCCCGGACAACCTCTGTCCTAAAGGTCACACACCCATGAGCGAGCGTCGCAACGCAGCGGATTATTGGGGATCTGCTGGGCTACCTCTCGCCACAGTCATTTAGTAGCCCGGCAGGCACTTTATATATTATGATGATGCTTGTTTACTTCGGAAAGCCTCATGACAAACATTTTTTTTTCACGAGGGTCCTGCCAAGTTTTTTGCAGCCGTTGCCAGATGATTGCTTGTGTTTGTTGCAATAGAGTCATCGGCAGGGTTAATTAATTCGGCAATATTTGGAAGGTGTCGCTGGCATACGATGGCCTACTCTCGCGAACGACATCTCCACCGTGAAGCGGACGGTGTCGCCGTATCTAATATGGATATGCGCACCACAGTTATAACCGGGGTGGCCGATTTAGTTGCCACTGGTTTCGAACCGTGAACCCTTCCGAACCGAGCGGCAAACGGGCTATCGCTCGTCCACGTCACCCTTTGTTACCCGAGAATTGCAGCGTTCCTCTCGGATGTTCTCATCGTGATTAGACATCGTGAAGAGAAACTGGATTCACACTTGCGAACACGTTTGCCAAAGCCACTGGAGGCATATTTAGTATTTTGAGAGTGTACGGCAATAGTTCGCATTTGTTTTCTGACTGAGTGCTGGCGTCATTGTAGATGCATAATCATTTGTGACATGAAGACCCTGTTTCTTAGAGCATGAACTGCTTTATCCCGTAAAAATAAACCTTTAAGTTGTTTATTGGCTACACTGAGTGGCATTAACGATGTATGTGAACTTCTGTGTAATATCATAACATAAAGTATCAAAATCTTTGTTTTAATACTTCTGTATTACAATTGTCCTTTCTATGTTATTGAACATGAAGCAAATTATCCAAACTAGGCATATTCAGGCAATATTTAATGATATAGTATACACATATTTACAATTTTTTTAAAGGCTGGTCAAGAAAGAAGGGGTCAGATTTTAAATGGTCAGTTACACAAATACAAATTTGTATTCATAATCTCTAACCATCTGTTTCCTTGTAACTTGCGCGTATTTCTGCGTGGAGTTCTGTTGAAAGTCAAGCTTGTTAATTCCACCCATGCATTGCACTTGTGTCTCTCTGCAGTTTGCGATGGAATTGGATCCGGAAATCTGAAAGGGGCGCAAACGGTCGACTCTAAAAACATCCATTTCTTCTCGAACTGCACGACCATCAGTGGGAACCTGATCTTCCTGCGAAATGGATTCGATGGGTAATGGGCACCTCCTAAACGACTTCACATGTTTTCCCGCTCACCTGTACGCTCACCTCGAAGCAGTCCCATGGTGCATTGCTTATTCTGAACTCGTACGATTTCTAAGGGGCTCTAACTGAATTGAGGTGCACAGGCGGGGAGCGGATCATGGGATTGTCACCTGGCTGGGCTGTGGAGATCTCCCTTGGTCCAGGTCGCAGCGTCTCTCTGCTCAAATATGCGCCGGATGGTATGCTCGTCACTGTTGGCTAGCCCTGAGCTAGCCAGTGGTGCAATTCCACATTCTAATGGCCAAGTGCAGTTCCTCCATTCGGCAGTCAGTGTTGGCATCTGAAATTACGGTACTCGAGAGAGGATAATGATGTGCGTTGACACCACCCCCCTCGCCCCCGTCTGGGAGTTGAACTTGCTGCTTTATAGCTGAGTTGACCACTCCACAACCGCTACCTTGCCAGGTTTGCTCTGCCAGTGTGAGAGTCCGATTGCTCGCAGCTCTAAAGTCGCAAGGATGTCCCAACATACACGACCCTGTTACTTCCCAACAAAATATTGGGTGCGAATTTATAAAAAAAAATCAAACTAATTCACCATCTTCTTGGTTCTTTCGGTAAAGTCACGTAGAAGGGAAATAATAAAATAGTAAAAATAATACATAATATAGACGCTGTCTTTCCGACAGACCTTTTCTTCACCTGAGGACAGCTGCTTGCGTTGTGGCCGAAACGTCGTGAGAATTATTTAATTATGTTGTATTTTTATTATTATTTATTATTTCCCTTCTACGTGACTTTACCGAAAGAATCAAGAAGATGAATCCCTGCAGTCACGAAAGCTTTAAATCGAAATCTAATTCACCATCTTCATTAGTAACACCGTCTTATAATATAAATATATAAATATACATGATAGGCTAACTGTGTAGCCAGTGGCCTAAATGGTGCAATTATGATTTCAGTAATTGCCGCTTTCACAATGGTATTCACGTCATGCCACGATGTTGCCAAAGCCTACGACAGTTGAATGTGATCTGTCTTAAATAAATGTTCTTTTGGAGTTAGATTTCATTCATATAAATGCGTCGTCAAACCTGCCACCACCTGACACAGACAATTAGTAAGGTTTGTCACGTTAAGAGAACACTGCTTGTGTGTTGGAGAGTAAACCCAAAACTCTTTGGTTCTTTCGGTAAAGTCACATAGGTAGAAAAATAAAATAAATGTTATTTTTTATTTTATTTTTCTACCTACGTGACTTTACCGAAAGAACCAAAGAGTATGTAATCCTGCAGTCACGAAATCTTCAAATCAAGATTAAACCCAAAACGTTTACAATTCGAGTACGACGTGCGCTGGTGGCTGCAACCAGCTTCATGAGGCGATTATCCAGAATTGTGAAGAAAGTCCTCCTGCTTCGGTCTTGAATAGAGGGGTAATGGTGATGTCATCACTGTGGACTTATCTACATCGAGCTTGTATAGAGTCGCAAGGGCAGCATGCTCTGGGAGGAGCCACACACGGGTTCACGTTGTGCTCTCGCCGATCGCTGCTGAAGTCGCAAGGCCATTCAAGCTCATTCGCCGTGCAATGGTGCAATAGTTCACGTGATAACCTGGAATGAACGGGGGTTTGTCCTGTGTTTCAGCGACCGCTATTACAACATTCCTCCTCTGAACCCGGACACCCTCGATGTATTCCACAATGTGCAAGAGGTCACAGGTATGACCCGCTTCTCATTGTGGCATTATCGTAGTCTGCAGGATTTTGCCAATGACAGACGATGCTTCGACAGTGGTTAACTGTTGGCCCTGATGTGCACCTGTACACAATTACTATTTATAGACAGCACACTGGATATCATTGTGTCCTTGACAATGTGAATAATGTTCGGGGTATAATGCCTGGCATTGCATTAAATAGTATGTCTTGATGAAGTAAAAAAACACGTTTTAACACGGTTTTAAACTTGACTTTTGTCAGAATAAAATTCATTCTAATTAATGTGGTATATTCACCGTAAAGAAATGTGTCTTTCTTGGGTTCAACGGTAATCAAGTGAGTTCATGTAAGAGGAGTTGTCCAGCATGCGACCATCACTGATGAAGTGAACGCAAACTCATTGTTGCCTCGTGATCTCACTTGTCGGCTTTGAAGGGTTCCTCAACATTGAAGCCTGGCCAGAAAACAGGACAGACCTGAGCGTTTTGGAGAATCTGCGGACGGTGAGAGGCAGGGACACCAGAAGGTGAGACTGCTGGTCCACGTCAGAATAACTTTAAGCCACGTGTGGTCATTCACTGGACTGGCTGTTTCATCTCAGTCATGCTGTATTCAGCCACCACACTGCAGCTCACTCACACACTCACCTGATCATACACACCCTCACCACACTGCAGGTCATAACAACATGCCCACTAACTTAACCGATCACTCACACACTCACAAGATCATACACTCACTAACGTATCTACTCACCTACTCACTCACATCCAAAGATAAAGAGAAATATTCCCCCGCATAGCCTTAATAGACTGTTGGGGCAAGTACTGTTAGCGAGCACCTATGAAGGCCTGAATGGTGCACATGGGGGAAGGTGGCCAGCACCACGACGAAACGCCTTTGTCTCCCCAGTGGCAATGTTTACACACCACACCAGGTACTCATTTGAGGCTGAGTTAACTCAGGGGAGGCCCAGGACCGGTTCAGATATTTGTCACCGAATATCTGAACCATTATATAGTACGTTGGCAGGTGTTGCCTTTTTTATTACAAGGAGCCCTCTACTTATGAATATTCGACTTGTGAACTTTAAGAGATACGAACAAACCTACGTCCAGTTGCCTGATTGGACTGAGAGTCGTAAGTTCAACCGCCGCGCAATAGACGGCGGTGGTTGTTCGGTGTCATTACCCAGCATTTCTGCCAGGGTCGCCATCATTGTCTGTTGTTGCGTTGTCATTGCGCGGGTTCACTACGACGTTCTCTGCTCTTTTCAAGAACAATATCAACCCCCATCATGTCTCAGAAGCGTAAGAGTGGTGAAAGTGTTGAGGTTGGCAAGAAGAAGAACCAGTGGCATCTACTTCTAAATGAGATTATAACATTTTTAAAGGCACTCCCCGTATTTAGTGTACATGCCGTACAACATGTTTGGAATCGACGGGAGTAAAGTTGGACTTACGAACAAATCGACTTACGAACAGACCTGGAACCTAACTCGTTCGTAAGTAGAGGAGTCCCTGTATTTATATCAACTTTGTACTCTAATTCCATACACCGCGGACTTGGTCTTCATCTCTATCCACAGTGTGCTTGCTGCCCACGCTGCGTTTTACCATCTCACACCACGTTACTCAATTTGCACACCCGAATTAAGTTTTGGTGTAGTTACCATTATTTTGAGATGGAATTGAACTGTTGACCTGTGGACTGCAAGTCCAGCGTGTTAACCATTGCACACTGAGCTACATCTGGACTTAGTGAACCATCTAGAAAACAATTATGGCGTTTACATATATTGCTGGTCCGTAAGTCACTCTTGTCCATGCAAGGTCGCGCTTGCAAATGAGAATAATGCTTGTCTCTTGACTTTTCGCCTGGTCTAACAGTATGCACTTGAAGAATGCTTGGGATTTCGGTGAAGGATAAGGTTGGGGTTTGGTATAGAACAACATTGAGTATGTGACATTATTATTTCGGCATACTCAGGGAAAAGGAGGATACGTTGGATGAGTCACGTGTATGTGTGTGTGGGATAGAGGAGGACACTGAGACAGGCACTTGCAATGGGATCCAAAAGCCAAAGAGGAATATCCGGATAGCGGCGGTGAGAGGCCTGCCGTGGCTCTGCCACAGCTCAGAGGTCGAGCAAAAGGGAAGGAAGCGTCGCCGGGGAGGGAGTAATTATCAGCGAAACGTCGGACTACTCAAATTTAAAATGCTGTTGATTCTCTCTTCAACACACCGGTGGGCTAGAGACGTCAATTATTTTGTCCTTTGAAAAACGTGACACATTGTTTACTGATTGGCCGTGTCGGGTGGCGGAGGGTTACGACACATTTATAAATGACGCGATCTGACCCAAAAACCTATATTATGAAGAATATTGGTCGCGAAAGCCTACTGTGTTAAATTGGGGAGGGAGTGGTCGCATCAAAGGATTCACCTTGACCCCAGTACCCGCGGTCAAGACTTCTCCCCACTTCATATTCACGCTCCATTGGGACGGGCTTCATCGTTGACAAAAGCGGACACGATGCACTTTGGCCAGAAACGTTGCGCGAGGGTGAACGGCACTCGGTTTCCCTCGGAGGAATGTGTCGCTGCGACTCGCCTGTCAGCGTCACTATTCTGGTTATTACGCGTTACTGTACGTATGCGAAGAGGTTACAGGTAACTGCTACAGTGCGGCCAATTTTTTGTTTTGTTTCAACATTATTTGGGTCCAGTTTATATTCGACGAGTAATGTTTGGTAATTGTGTCACTTGTGTTAGGATTATTAATGTCATGATTATTTAATCGTAATGTATTTCAAAATATATATACACATTTATATCGGTATTTCATTGATTATGTCCTGGTAATGGCCCTTTGATGTGTACTTGCTGGACTTGCACTGTAGAATAAGTATGTACGTTGAAATTCTTTCGCACCATCGTACGTAGCCAACCATGCTACTCGCTCCCATGCCAACGTGTACGGCACACATTGGCATTTCACTGGCACGATTTGACCCAGAAAACGATTATTTATCGCAACTGTATTTTATATTTTAGTTGTTGTTTTTTTTTATCAGCGGCTATTCCTTCCTGGTGTCCAACCTGCCGCACATAAAATCGCTGAGCTTCCAGTCTCTGGAGGAGATCAGCGAGGGCGGCATTTACATTCGACGGAACAGAAACCTCTGCTTCCACGACACGGTCAACTGGACCCGCCTGCTGAGGTCAAGTCGCCCGCGCCTGCTCTACGACCCCCCCCAAGACAACTGCAGTGAGTGCAGCCCCTGCAGCTGGAGGGTCACGGGGTCACGGTGGCCAGAGGCTGATCTAGAAACTTCCCAAGGAAGGGGGAAGGGGCAGTCCCAGCACTTTCTCATTGGGCTCTACAATAATAATACAAAGCATTCCATTCCACATCATTAGACCTCCCTTTCCAGTACCAAAATGTAATAATAGGGTTTTTACCCCTTTTTTCTGGCAACAAAACTGAAACCTTTTTACAAGGAATCATGTCTGCATTAACCACAATACTTGTGGTCAAAATGCAAACAAAAACACACTCTGATAATCTATGCATTGTCCTTGAAACTGATTGGTCCACACCAGAGACGGCTTTCTTTTGAGCCTCGTCTCATTCCATTCCATTCCTATTCTCATATTTTGGTACTGGCAAAGGTGATGTAGCATTCCATTGATTTCCTGTGGTGAATATCAATAAAATACCAACTTTAGGGGTCTCAAGGCGGGGGGCTTTTCCCCCCATGCTCCCCCCCCTACTCCACCCTGAGGATCCACCACTGACCATGGTCAATGCTGTTGATGTAATCACATCTCGCCATTGTTTCCTTCTGTCAAAACCCATACATCCTCGGGACCAGTTTTGACATTTTAAGTCTCATCAGCAGAGTTTCATGAGCTTATAATCTGCATTTTTGGCAATCTGGTGGTTTGTGTACAATGTGGTGACCTGTTTTTCGGCCGCCTCCAGCGTTCTATTTGAAAGCAACAGCACAGCTGATAAAAGATGCCGTTCACCGATTGGTTATTTTCCTTCACGCATGCCGTGGTCTGCAGCGACCTCACCGAGTTATTGATTAAGCACCGCTCGCTTCGGGCGTTTTGCCGCATTGGACCATCTCCGTGAATTCCTCTCGTGCACCCGTCGCACGGAATGTCTGGCCAATGATGCCGTGAGGGAATGGGGAGCCTATAAACGTTCGAGGCAGAGTTGTAAACACGCTGGTTTCGGGTTTTTTGTGTAGTTGAAGCACAATACGGCAGTGTGTATGTAGTGAATGGTATATTACAAATTACACATTTAAGGATGGCCAGTGACAATGGTCGTGAATAACTACGGAATATTAGCGATGCCTTGGTAGATAAGTCGTGGTCAAATTGCATTTTTATTTATTTTATTTTATCCAGAAAAGCTTAATTGAATCTCAAGACTCCTTGCAAAGGGATGTTTGGCATATTCCATTTTTATTGGAATCAGAATATGTATTCATACTGGAGGAATCCGATGAGCTATAAGCTCTTTTCGATTTAAAGCTTTCGTGACTGCAGGATTCATCTTCTTGGTTCGTTCGGTACTTCCCTTCTACGTGACTATAAGCTCTTGTTCACAGATGTCCAGTATGGGCGGGTAAGAACGCTACAACAACAAACGGTACCAAAACACGATTGTAGAGTGACAGCCAAAGTGACAGCCAAAGGAGACGAGGAGAATAAGACCAACCGTCGAGATGGAGCAGGGTGACATCAGTCAGCGTGCAGGTCGAGATGGGTCGGTTGCACCATAGTAAGAGGAAGGGGTGTTGATAGTGCCCATGGCAGTGGGTAGACAGTGGGTAAAATAGTTCACGATGATGCTCAGGGAAGTTCAATGTTGAGTACATTGCGTGAGTCAGAGGCTTGAGCTACGGCCGAATTCCTTGGTTGATAGCCTGGACACGCCGTTCAAACGAGATGTTTCATCTCGAGGGATTTTTGTTTTGTTTTCAGTGAAATATTTTAATTAATGAAACACAAAGTGGTAGTGGAGAGAGGTTTGCATTGTTGTCTAATTGCGATGATTAATCATTCACATGACAGCAGTGAACGAGAAACCGGGGCCATTTTACAATTGCTGTCTTATTATTATTATTATCCATAATAGAGGTTTTTTTCTTCGGTTAGATCGCGTAAATATAAATGTGCCGCTAAACCCGCCACCACCCAACACAGCCAATTAGTAAGGTTTGTCACATAAATGAAATGTGTCGGTTAGATACAAGTTCAGCACACGGGTGTGTTGGAAAAGTAAACCCACAACATTTATAATTCGAGTACCGTAACGTTTCGCTGGTAATTGCAACCAGCATCATCAGGTGACAGCCAGAATTGTGGAGACTTCCTCCTGTTTTGGTCTTAAATATGACACATTTATAATTACGCGATCTAACCCCCCAAAAAACGAAACCTCTATGATGGATAAACCATTCTTGTTGTTATTTTGTACAAAGAGCAATGGACGCCACTGCTGTGCGTGTGACCGGCCAGGCAAAGAGGGCTACGTCTGCGACGCCCTGTGCTCGGCAGAGGGCTGCTGGGGCCCCGGGCCCATGCAGTGCCTCAGCTGCAAGTTCCACAAGCGTGGGAAGACGTGCGTGGAGTCCTGCAGCGTGCTCGACGGGTACGGTCACGAGGGGAGACTGGCCGGTTGGCTCAGTGGTGCGAGCGAGGGGTCTCGCAGTCGCAAGGCTGCGAGTTCAAATCCCGGTTGGCGGGTTGACTCGGCCCATCAACCCTCCAGCGATGATGAAAACGAGTGCCCTCTTTGTGGGCAAGTCGATAAAATAAACTACGGCCTGTTCTGCTAGAACGCGGTACCGTATTTGCCTTCCTGAAGAACACCGCATTATGGAAAAATCGCGTTATAATAAATCGTATAAAATATGTGAAATGCGTAGGCAGGCTGAACAAAGACTGAGGCACGTGGGTAGCATCTAGAAGCATTCAGCAGCATCCCGTCTTGTGTGATGCTACGCCGAGGCAGCCGTACGACCGCTTATTCCTACTGGCACGATGTAGTTTTCTTCGCTCAATCACGTTGTATCCAATGTGCATCAGGGAACAATTTTTTTTTTAATAAAATAAAATAAATAGTTTTTAATAAAAAAAATTGTTCCCTGATACATTCGTCGCATTATATCCAATTCGTGTTATGAAAACACGAGTTATAGGAGAACACTGTATAAACGAAACTATTTTTATTTTACCAGGAACGTCCCATTGAGCTATGTGGCTCCTTTATAGAAGCGTACTGGGCACAAATGATAGCTCAACAAAGTGGTTCATCACGTGGAAATGTATTGCAGCCAAATACCATAAACGCACGTTGATTCCACCACCTTCTGTAAACCAGGCGAGGTAGTTAACATCTCGTCACCGCGGCGCCCCTCAAGTCAATGACACTTGCCCTTTGTATGGAGTCGCCCCCACCTTAGGGATGTGGTATTTGCACCACTGGCTCAAGGCTGCAGACAGGGGATGAGCACTGAATCGGTCTATGAGAGCCACCAAGCCTTGCCTGTAGAGCGTTGGAAACGTATCTGTGCTCAACAATGATTCCTCAATTTGGCATCATACGTCTTCAATTTATCAGTACCCAACTAAGCCTTGATTAATAAAAAATCAAGGATCCATCATAGAGGTTTGTTTGGGTTAGATCGCATAAATATATAAATGTGTCGCTGAAACCCGCCACCACCCAACACAGCCAACTAGTAAGGGTTGTCACGTAAACAGAACGTGCCAATTCGTCACTAGTACAGAGCCAAGCCACAACATTCACAGTCTGAGTACGACGTTTCGCCAGTAATTACAATTAGCTTCATCAGGCGACAGCCAGATTTGTGGAGAAGTCTTACTGTTTCGTTCCTTATATAGAGGCGTAGATGTGGTGACCACCCTTCTGCACTCTTGAACAATGATGGGGGGGGGGGTTACTGAGGCAACGTACATGATGCATGTGCATTATGCGAGTCCTTTGAACTTGTCCTTCCTGTTCTTGGTTCTTTCGGTAAAGTCACGTAGAAGGGAAGTAATAAAATAATAAAAATAAAACATAATAAAACAATTATCACGACGTTTCGGCTGAGGACGGCTGCTTGCGTTGTGGCCGAAACGTCGTGAGAATTGTTTTATTATGTTTTATTTTTATTATTTTATTACTTCCCTTCTACGTGACTTTACCGAAAGAACCAAGAAGATGAATCCCTGCAGTCACGAAAGCTTTAAATCGAAATTGTCCTTCCTGTTTATTGTGTTTATTAAAATAGCCCTACCAACGGTAATCCCTATTGAAGTACGCTGCCCCTAGTAGGCATGCATTTAAATAATGTATTACTTGATGATTCGCTTCCATGCAGCACTAAGACGGTAGCTATCTGAACGTTAAAGTTATTTTGATTTCTTTCAATTTCGATAGATTATCTAATTAGTCTTGGCCAGTGGTAGCTAGTTTTGCACAAAACTTCAACATTATCAAAATCAATTGAGGGTCCTTGTTGGCACGCGTGTTCTGCTACTGCTGACAGTTGCATTTGGGAGAATTTAATATTTCTCTGATGTTCTTTTATTCTCGTACTGATCATTCGTCCTGTTTGCCCAACATAACATATGTAAGGAACGAAGTAACCCATAGTAGCAACACAAATATGTAGAAAAATGTAACATTTATATATTGAATCATCTTTACGAAAGTTATCACGACCTCACGTTATAGACAGAGTTGATGCATTAATGCTTTCAAAGTTGGTTTTGAAAGCGGTAGAAGATATTAACAACTTCACGCATGAATAGGGAGGTCAGTTAGGGATAAATCCCAGTGAACTGTTGTTGTCGTCTGTAAACTTGCACGTGTTTGTGCACATGTTAGTTATATTCTTTGGGTCTTTCGGTAAAGTCACGTTGATAGGTTGAAAGAAAATAACAAAAACTACGACGTTTCGATCATAACAAAGCGATCAAACAAAGCAATCGCTTTGTTGTGATCGAAACGTCGTAGTTTTTTGTTATATTCTTTCAACCTATCTATGTGACTTTACCGAAAGACCCAAAGAATATGAATTCCTGCAGTCACGAAAGCTTTAAGCCACATTTGAGTTCTTGTTCATGGAGCCGTGTAGGCCTACTTGGTTGCATCTGCATGTGTGCCTGCATGTGGGGAGCGGTCGTGTAGCGGTTAGCACGCTGCACTACAAACCTGGAAACTCGGATTTGTTTCCCACTCGTGGCCAACACCAGTGACGATCATCTGAACCGGTCCTGGGCCTCCCCTAGGTGGACTCAGCCTCAAATGAGTACCTGGCACGGTGTGTAAAACATGGGCACTGGGAAGACAAAGGTGGTCAGTCGTGGTCTGGCCACCCACCCTATTGTGTGCCGTGCCGGCCTGCACAGGTGCTCACGAACAGCACTTGTGCCAACAATTTGTTAAGGGCTCTACAGGGGGAGATCTTTGTCATTGTCTTGTCTTTGTGTGTGCGTGTTGATGCATCTCTCCCGTGTGACGCTGCAGGGACGAGCGAGAGTTTGTGAGTGGCGCTCTGTGCATCGCGTGCCACGCCGAGTGCATGCTCATCAACGGCAGCCTCACCTGCCACGGCCCGGTAAGCCGCCACGCACCAAAACCTCTCCTCCTCGCAGGGCCTCTATTTTCACACGGTGCAGGATGGCAGAGTGCTCGGAGGAACTACACATATATGACTCGGTGTGGAGAATTAGCAGAAACCTATTTGCCGTACCCCTGACAGGGATCGTGAGGCCTCTTCCACAGTCCAGTGTCTCTCACACACACGCGACTGTGACCCAGGTCACTCTTGCAATTGAGACGATCCTGGTCTCTTGAGTTCTCAACCTGAAACTGAACAACACAATATCAGTGTGAACCATGACCCTCGCCTACAAGTTACCATCATTATGAGGGGCAGGGCCGGATTAAGGTTCGTGTAAGGCCCTAGGCACTTCTGTTTCGTAGACCTTCAGTGATAACTCTGTACGTTTCCTACCGCTGCCCCATGTTACTACTGCCGCTGTCACTCGCTAAAGCTGATGAAAAAAACCTGTCTCCGATCAACCAAAGGATAACAACGCCTTGTTTTCCCTCTCACTACTCTCTATTGAGAATGAGATTTTTGCGATAAACACCATTTGAAGATGTTCTTGGTAATTTTGGAATGAAAACATCTCGACAAGTTAATCTCCGGTGTTAATTTCTCTCACCTTTTTGAAAAAAAGAAAACGATTGACATGGCTCTGCCTCTTTATATCTACACTGTGGCTATCCTTGCTATGCAAAATATATTTATTCAAGAAGATATCTCAGTTACTTTTTTTAATATACGAACAAAGAATAAAGCATGGCCGTATTTCTTTCATAAACCCTTTAGTTTTTATTGGGCCCTAGGGACAGTGCCTACTGTGCCAACCACCGTGCCTACTGTGCCTATTGGGTAATACGGCCCTGATGAGGGGCCATTGCATGCGTGATGGGATCATTGTTGACTTTTCATATTTGGAACTCAGTTGTATTGATGCTGGAAGGGAGATGACGAGATCTTCTCATTGTGAGCAGTAAAGCACTCCACCGACGGTGCCACTCAATCTGATTTTAAATAACCAAGGAAAACTTTATTGGAGCGATTGACATTTGCCCTTGAGAGCAGCCCCTCTGAGCCATGCGTTATTAGCCCCGGATAGTGGGTTACGTACTCACTACGATTTCCAGTTAATTTATTTCACAGTGAAACATTTACTAAATTAATTATTTTCATACATACGGCGGCAATTATTCTGCATGCCAGTTAGATTTTTATTGTTGAATTTGCCTATTAAGGCCGTTCGCAAAATGATTCGGTACTCTGGGGCTTTTGGCAGCCAGAAGTGTTCACTGCACGCGGTTTCTGTGGCTGCAGCAGCGAGGGGCCACCAGAGCGATTATTAAATCAAGAGGAATCAAGTGGAATAAACACATCTGGGGAAATTGTTTCCTTTAAGGGAGACTGCGACCACAGCCTCTTGCTGTCCTCTTGCTAGAGTATCTCGCGTTCCCTTGCTCTGGGACACGAGATGGGACAGCACGTTGCCTGGTCAAGCATGGGAAAGGTGAAATCCAGCATTCCCGCTGCAGGGCCCGGTCTAGGCATAGTATGTGTAGCATTGTTGACTTGCATAAAATGGTGCTCAGGTTATTGATGTGTGCGAGGCCGGGCTCACACCTAGGTTATCAGTTGCGCAACCCAAATTGCTCTTGAAATCGCGCAACTTAATAATTCATCATAATTTCAACTCGTAATGTGCCTGCACAGTGTTTGCTTACTCTGGAAGGGAGAGCGAAAACAACGCAGTGGCACGGGGAACCACAGACGAGCAGGAAGGCAGCCAGGCAGTGAGCCGGTGCCAATTCCCCCCTCCCCTCCCCCCAGGGGCTGAGGTCCTCTCTATATATTTAAATATGTTATTAGCCAATGAACGAATGTTTACCTGCGGGAGCAAACCGGAGCACTCAGAGAAAGCCCACACACGCGAGGGGGGCCAACATCATCCCATACAAGAGGGAACAGGTGGAGCCCTAGCTGTGCTTGCAGAGACATCCACGTCAGCGATTCAGTTGCACGCAACCCAATGGCATTCAGTTCACCCGCTTCGCTGTGGACCCGCCTGGAGGCCGTTTTTCCCATGTTGTCGTCCAAGACACTGCTCACACCTCGCACTTTGCCAGGGTTAAAGGCCAGGTGTGTCGCAGTATTTTCGGGGTCATAGGAAAGCAGAGAGCGTCACTGTTTAAAGCTGGGACAGACGAACCCTCCTCCTCCATGACATCCAATGGCTGATCCAGACCTCACGTCACCACCCGCCCTCCCCTCTCTGTCGGTCCCAACGTAGTCCGTCAGCAGACGCCCGTCAGTTCCCAGCCCTATAAATGTCCACGTGATAAGCCACGTCGTTGTGCTATCATTTGTGGCCAGGTCGTTTCTGTAAAATAAGCTAATAGCTCAGTGGGCTTTACCTAGTAAAATAAACATAGCTATGTCGACACATTTTAGTGTTTTGCTTACCTTTCCTATACTTTACACATTCCTATGATGTTTTGTCTTGTTTGTTGTAACTTTCTGACCCGCCCCGACTGAACATCTGTGAAAAAAGCTTTATAGCTCATCGGATTCCTCCAGGATAAATAATCTGATTCCGATTCTGATAAACGCCCTTGGTCAAGAATGCGCAGTCGGGCAAACGGTGTGTGCCGTGGAGATCGGGGGAGCCGGCAAGTGACTGCACCGTGGAGGGAACAAAGTTGATAATCACCGTTCTCGAGAATTAAAGACGTGGCTTCATGCGTGTAAGAGATCGCGCGCTGCCTGTGAGTCGTCTGTGGGGCTAAGAAAAATTTTTTTGCATAGGGAACAAACTCGTATTTGCATAGGTTGGTCTTAATATTTCACATTTTTTTTAGAAAGGTGTTGGATAATAGGTTGCCTCAGGGAAGCAAACGCTCGACCGGTTTCGACAACAAGCTGATGAGACCCAGAATGTAAAAACTGTTCCAAAACATTGCGTGCCAGTTTTTTTTGGGCTGACGGTTCTCAGGTGAGGCGGCACTTGAGGAGATGGAAGCGTGGAATGTTGAAAATGAGAGCTGAAACGTTGCTTTAGAATAATCCCACCCTCGCCTTTTTTGACACTCAAAATTGGCAGTCAATCGCACCAGGTGTGGTACACATGCTATTTTTTTAATCCAAACCACAGTGCCTTAATACACATGATGCAGCTGAGGGAGAATCTTTTTTCTGGCTTGGTTTATTCAATATAGGGCAGTAAATTCCATAAATTTAAGACGTTGGTTGTGAATCGATTACTGGTTGTGAATTTTGATTTAAAGCTTTCGTGACTGCAGGGATTCATATTCTTGGTTCTTTCGGTAAAGTCACGTAGAAGGGAAATAATAAAATAATATAATATAAAACAATAAAAATTCTCACGACGTTTCGACTGCAACACAAGCAATCATCATCAGGTGTGAAATACCTGGCCGAGCATCGCACCTTTTCCACCTTAGACTTAACCCGGACATATTTCTCAGACAGCCTATGTCTATCGAAACTGTGCAGTGTACTGTAAAATAAGTTAAACTCATTACCGGTAGCAGATCTCGGTACGAATCAATTCCTGACGCCCGAACACAGATGGCCAATTCCTGGACCTGTCTGGATCAAACCCGGGCAGGTGACAACCCTAAAACTGGCCTTAAGTGTATGGCTCGGGTTGAGAAGCAGAGCCCTAGGGGCCCAAGGGTCTGAGCTTCGCTAGGCCTCATCTGGTTGTCGTGGGGACGCGGCTTGAGTAGCAGAAGCGTGGCCACCACAGAGCCAGCGCAGTTCCCCACTGGCTGTGAAAGTGATCTATTTAGCAGTGGGTATACAGAGAACTGAAAATGGTGTTTTTTTTTTGCCCACCCCGATTGGTGTGTCAATTGTTGTGGGTGGCTTTAAGGGGGCTCAGAGTTTGTTGCCTGCTCGTTCCCTGGCCCAGCCGCTTGCAAGCAGTCGCTCGACTTCACTGTCCGTTCCACATGTGCCAGTCAATTGTGCCGGCCGCGGTATTAGGGGATTGAGCCCTTAAATGTGCGAGACTGGTTTTTCTTCATTTAGGTGCAACCGAGCTTATTTTAAAAGCATTTACGTCAGCCACGGCGGTGTAATTCATATATAAAAACACGAAGTTACAGTGCCAGACAGTCTCACATTAGATAGATTTATTTCTTTAAATAAATATTTGACAGGTATTGTGTAAGTCTATGCACCTATGTCTGTTCTTAGCACCTTCCAAGACAGCCTGCTGCACTCACCAGCATGGCTGAGTAGCGCACAAGACCTAAATGGTGTGGGAAGTAGCTGATCCAGAAGTGGATCGCCTGCTTCGTATTTGGAGTTTGCGCGTGTCTCTCTCCCCGTGGTGCTGTGGATTTTTATCCAGGCCCTCCGGTTTTTCCCTCCACATTTAGAATCATCACCATGCGTTTCAAGTATTTGGCTACGATAAATTCCCACATAATGATAAACCACTTAATTGAGCAATCATTTGTGATAGCGAGGTCGTTTCTGGAAAAGAGCTGTATAGCTCAGTGGGCCTTACCTGGTGACATACAGTATTTTTTCTTGTCATCGTTTATTGACCTGTATATATTGTTACAGTCACGTGGTTAAAGTGCCTAAATGAGGGTGGGCTACTGCTCATCCATCGCTCGGATGTGCCGCTCTGCATGCGGTAGAGCATGCAACTCGCAATTGGAAGGTTGAAAAAACCCCGTTTGGGGGTTAACTCAGCCCATCATCTCTCTGAGGTTGGTAAAATGGTGACCACTTTGTGGAGGAATGTCAACAGTGGTTGTCCTTTGAATAGGCTCGCCCCCGATATAGGAATGTGGAATTTCCGCCACTTGGCTCAGGCACGTGAAAAGGTGGTGAGCACCAATGCCTCAATGCAAATCTGAGCAGGAAATCACTTCTGGCTTTCATTGGTCATCGCTGTTCGAACGCACATCCACCGGTGGGCATTCCACATTCCTTCCCCAGGGTGGCCACGGTCGCTCCGATAGGCCACAAAATGCACGGGAAGAGAGAACAGAGGTGAAAGTTCAATCGTAATTTGTTCATGGTCACTGCAATTGCGGCCCGTTCCGATCGTAGGAATCCGTGCCCCCCACCTCCACTCCGTCACGCACCGGGTTCCTGCGTTTTATTTTTGGCGATTTTTTTTCCCACTGTGCGCCATCCCATTTTCACTTGATGAAAGATCTGGAGACTATATCACAGCTGTGCTGCATTGGAAATCTTCCCCTCAATCACCCACATAGTCTTGACTGTTTTGGGGGAATCGGTGGATTCTTTGGTCGCGCTGGATAACGTTATTTGTGTATGAGATCATGACAAATAGGAGGGATTTTAAGATGTATTTCTCAAACAATGTGTCGTCATTCACCCTGTGGGCTACCAGCCTCGCGTGATGACCCCAAGCATCCATTTGGATCTCTCACACAGGAGTGCAACCCGTTGTGTTACAGACGACAGGCCACAGAAGATGATGACAGAGTTACCTCTGAGTCTGGCCAGCATGGAAGGGTAGAACAAACACTTAAAAATGTGCCTGTTATATTTGGTCAAACATTTAATTAACTCACCGAATGCGATGGCTGGAACTGCTTCTCTTTGGTGAGGCGTGTGATGTTAGCTGGTATTGATGATGTTGCTACTCGCAACTACTTTTCCAGGTTTGCTCCGAGATTTATTGAATTTCGAGTTCCGCCTGCGGTTGCCTTGGCAGGGCCAGACCAAATGATTTCGTGGGCCTTGTACGGCCCCATCCCTTCTAGAGCTCTCTTCTATCGGAAACCCTTCTGCCCACAGTGGCATCAGAAAGAAAATAGCATGGCTGTAACATTGAGTTTTTTTTACACTGTTTCTTGGCGTAAGGGTGGCGTCGTAGTAGCATATGAGCCGCATAGCAGGAAAATTCCGGGTTCGACTCCCCACTGGTGCTTTTTGTGTTTGTCCGTTCGACATCATGGGACCCCTTGTACGTTCTCCTGCTTCCTATGCATGGGTTTCTGCAGGGATTCTACGGTTTCGTCCCATAGTTAAAATGTACCTGGTACTAACTTGATTTGAAGCTTCCGTGACTGCAGGAATTACTCTTTGGTTCTTTCGGTAGTCACGTAGAAAGAAAATAAATTAAGTTAACAGAATACGACGTTTCAATTGCAACACATGCAGTCGTCACCAGGTGGAACTAAATTTGAGAAAGAGACAAAACACAGACACGGAGACACACAGACAGACACACAAGCATGTGTGTCTCCGTGTCTGTGTTTTGTCTCTCTCTAAAATATAGTTCTACCTGATGACGATTGCTTGTGTTGCAATCGAAACGTCGTATTCTATTATTGTATTTATTTTATTTCTACGTGACTTTACCGAAAGAACCAAAGAGTATGTATAATATTAATTAATTATCCAGGAAAGCCACACACGTATAATAATTTACTTATTTATCCAGGAAAGCCACACTAATTTGTACTACTGTTTTTGAATAGGGTGCTGCATTGAGTGTTTATTTTAAGATGCTTTCGGCCAATTAATGAATGTTTACACGTGGGAGGAAATCGGGACAACACTCTTTGCCCATATAAATGGGAACAGATTGGGATTAGTCCACTTGCTTGACTGCCTGGTACTCTCGAAACATTGCAATGTGCTGAAAATGTCCCTGCAAATTGCCCAATAGGGATTACGTGTGGCAGCACCATTGCCGCCCTTCTGCAAAAAATTGGCAGGAACCCTCCTCCCTGAAATAGAATACAGTATTGAGACTGAGTGAGGCTTTTCTGGACAAACAAATGTCGTGGTAATAATAATAATAATTCTATAGCTGTATTATATTCAGAGACCAGGGTAGCAGAGTGAGACAGGCTGATTTTGTCGAGTGCCAAATGCACAGAGTAATAAAAAAAACACGGAATTCGTTTCAGAAGCCGAGGGGAAATATTTACCCATCCCAGACAAGCAGCTTTGACCATGGAGAAAGAGAGGACAAAGCTACATCATACGGAACGGATTATTTGTTGATGTTGCTGCTGTTGCTTTGGTGCACAAGCACTATTAACAAAATAATACATCAGTACGTAAAAAAACAAGTGACATTTTGGGCAATGACCCTTTTTCTCAGCATGTAATTTATTTCATTTTGTTGTTGTTAAATATTATGGATGTGTTTTTAAAGTGTCCAGGAACACGCTGCAACGACCTGTAGCTACGATTGGCTGCACGAGCGATCGCCACACGCTACGTATGCCGCATGCGCACGAGCCACTTAGTAACTCTACTGCACACAGCAATCGTGCGGAGGTTCAAGTTCGCAGAAAGCAGTGGTCGACCACGACGCTTAAACCCGTACATTATTACATTTAAGGTCGATCAATAATGCTGACTCTTGCGCGAGGCTTGCGCGATGTGAAACTAAGGCGGCGGTAGACGTTTGCCTCAAAGTGAATGATGAGATCGCTCATTATGACACTGGGAGCAAATGGGTTCGACATCGCATTAGTCACTGCACCCTGCACCACCAAAACATATAACTCGTATAATGTAACAAGTCACACGATTTATTCATGAGCAGATCAAAAATCCTCAGTAAGGTGCAGTATCTCTTGCGGGTGGGGGGCAGGGTTGGACATCACAGCTGTAATCATTAGCTATGCTCGCACTTGCGTAACACGCAGAGGTGGACACGGTCGGGGCTGAGGGCGGTGTACGGCCATGTGGCTCAAGAGCGAGCGGCTCACCATCGGCAAGGTCCATTACGTGCGTATGCTTTAACGGCCGATATGATGATTCGTACTTTGTGTTTTGGGACAGGTAGTGTGGGGATAATGCCGATTAAAGCTGTGCACTCTCCATCACCTGACACAACCAAACAAATGAAGTTGTCAAAAGCGAGGGAGATTCGACAATTTTGCTTGTTTTTTCAACATACCAGTTCGCTGACAAACAACAAGCAGGTGACGACTATATTTGTTTGGCTGTGTCGCGTGGTGGAGGGCGCATATATCTCATGGACATTTACTCGCACGACTGAAACCAAACAGCGAATCAATCAGAAGGTTCAAATCGTCGTTGGGGGTTGACTCAGCCCATCATCCCTCCGGGATTGATTAAATGAGTCACCACTTCGTGGGAAGTCAACAGTGATGATCCGATGGATATACTCAGGCCCGCCATATGAATGGGGAATCTCTGCCACTGGCTCAGGGATGTGAATAGGAGATGAGCACAAATGCCTGAATGCTCATTTAAGCAGGACATCTCTTTGATGTGACTATTGTACATGATGTGTGGTGGTCACGTGACATGCATGCATGGCATGATGGAAGTCATGCCTTCCTGCTGTCTAACAGAACATATTTTTGCGTTGTTAAATTTAGACGTGAACATTAAACAAGAGAACAACATCTCAGTTACCAAGGTAGTGTTAAAGTAAGGTCACGTGTAATTGCAATCCAAGGGTGATATACAATTAAACGTGTTTGTACAACTTTTTGATGTTGGAGGAGCTCACTTTGATAAAATGTATGAATACAAATTCTAACACTTATTGTAAATGTTTGCGTACAGACACAACAGTGTTTGATTGAACGATATAGCCGCAGCGCAGGACATACAGTCAGTGACGAGAGGTTTATTCTGAGTGTTTTTGTACATCGGGTGTCCTGTTTTATCCAGATGGTGTTGGCTTTGAAGATACAAAAACACATAGAGCATGTTTGAACACCCGAGCGCTAGATCATTCCAGTGCTTGGCCTCTGATGTTCTTGTTTGTTCTCACACCACGCCCCTTCTCTCTTCTCTTGAACACGTCGCTGTATTTTTCCTACTTGCCTTGTTAATGCCCCTTCCAATGCACATCACCCTACCGTTTACGGCATCGCATGGATGAATCCCTCCCATAAAACTCTTTTACCCCTCCCCCCATTATTGTCTTGCCTCCGTGTCATCTCTCCACACACTAAACCCCCCCCCCCCCCGCTTTCCACCCTCGCCACCCCAAACTGCCCTCTCCTCGATTTACCCGAACCCCGATCCCGAATCCCGACCTCCTCCCAACCCCGCCGCCGCCACTTTCCCCCGCTCCGCCGAACCCTGGCAGGGCCCAGACAATTGCACGCGGTGCCGGCACTACAGGGAGGGCCCTCACTGCGTGGGATTCTGCCCGGAGGGAGTCCCAGGGGAGTCGGGCGAGCTCATCTACAAATACCCGGACGAGGACGGCGTCTGCCACCCGTGCCATTACAACTGCACGCAAGGGTGAGCAGCGGACGCGCGCTCGGACGGAGCCTCGGAGGTTCCTTTGCCATCCACGTGGGACACTCACGCTCACGGCTCCAAATGTAGAGAGAGATGCACGTTCCGTAGCCCAGTGCAGAATTACTTCATATCGCAGCGCTCTCATGCGCAGTCAACATTCAGGAAAGCAGGCTTTGTGAGAAATCGAGTTTTAGTCGGCTGATGAGGCGGATTCGCTTCGATCAGAACAATTGATCAGATTAAGAAGATAAAGTACCACACCGGCACAAGTAAACTGTCCTTTGCAGTATAACAAAAGGACAACTTCCAAACCAGATGGAACAACTTTGGATGTTATCAATGAACTGGGAACAGAAAGTTGATTAAAAATGACCAGGCGTAAAAAGTAAAGACCCATTAGCCTTCTGTCAAATTTACATCCGTGGAATAATGGCCAATCAATGAAGCCAGCAAGCTGTGTTTAGGGAATGTTTGCCACCATCGACCAAATATGTAGCGGAAGAGCAACATTTATATCAAATACAATTCCACGTAGCCTTTGTAGACTATGAAGAGGCATTTCACTCAAAGGAAAGTGATGTATTAGTTCAAGTCCTTGCAACCAAGGTGTAGATGAGGATGAAGACGCTGGATCTTTAGAGAGAGATGTAGGCTGAGATAAATACCCATTGATCGAAGGCCTTGGTTCTTGAAATAAAGGGCACAGGGTAGGGAGTAGCATGAGATGTATGACGAACTTCTTTCGCACCGTACGTAGCTAACCATGCTAATTGTAGGTGCGGGGGAAGGACAACGAATATGAGATGAGATTGGAGAGGTAGGCAGGGCCAGGTCCATGGAGGATTCTATTTGGAGCCAGTGGAATTTGATGAATCTCGAGGCAATGTGGTGACAGGTTCAGGTAACAAGTGCAGCCACAGCATTCTGGACCATTTAAGAGATTTTCTGCGAGGGATTGATTCGGGGAAGCCATTGCAGAGGGGCAACAGTGAAGGGAAGGAGTTCTCTGGCGTGGATAATTATTTTTGACTTTCATGAGACCTGTCTTCGCCAGGCAAAAGTGTTCAAGAAATATAATTAACCTGATTTTTTTAAATTTTTCATCTATGATCAGACGCTTACTACTCCAAAAAATGGTATTTTTCCACAAAAATATAAAATTGTTGACAACTTGATTAAACTTCTTATATTTAAATACGTACCCATCGGTAACCGTTCAACTGAAAGATTCCGTTATTTTTTTATTAGGAAGAACAGAAATGATTGAAATTCATACTATATGAGGGGAAGCTCCTATTTTTTTTCTTCGAATTATTCAGATTTAAACATCATAAAATGCGTATTTTTTGTTAAAAGCCGCTTGAATCCTAAATATCTCAAAAACAATTAAATATAGAATGTGTTCATGCTTTAATTGTATTTGCTGTTTAACACTCTATCAAACGAAAACACCGCAATGTTATATTTTGAACGGTTTCTGAATGACACGTATTACAAACATGTCTATTGGGCACTTAAAATGGAGATTTGGAGGCCTTAAAATGAAAAAACTCGGATTTTCAGAAATGTTCCTGTTGTTTGTGTCTTAAAAGCTACCTATGTACTAAAGTTCAGCTTTCTACCTTGTCAGGAAGCACCCTAGAGGTTTTTGAGACGCAGATTAAGGTCTTTATTTATATAGATATAAGCGGTGAACGTTAAAACGCCCAACAATAATTTGTAATGCCGCATTACAAATCATTGTTTTAAGAGCAGCGTCTGCTGTTCTTCAAACAGGGGGTTACAAAACTTACGCTTTGACGTTATTCATTCAGGACCGACTTGTATTCATATATTCAGTTTTTTGTTACCGAATTTGAAGAAAATGGCTCTTCTTGTTATTTCGGTTGCAGGCCCCTCTATAATCTTATATCCATAGAGAGACCAGCCCTTCCCACATTAACCAAATTGACTGATTAATTAAAACAATTATTTGAATAACGTGTGTTATTTACCGTAAAACTATCACCCAACTAACCTCTGCTGTGTGTGCTTTTCTATGACGTGTCTGCGTGTCACGGGCTTGTGCTCGAGCAGATGCGTTGGGCCCACTCAAGAAGATTGCAAGGGACCATCGTACCTGCACAGGTAACAGCAATTCACACAGCGTCTAAACATTCCGAAGGCATACGCTTTGGGTCTTTCGGTAAAGTCATGTAGATAGGAAAATAATACAAAATCACGACGTTTCGATCGCAACACAAGCAATCGTCCTCAGGCGAACTGCTGAAGCAGGACAAATATAGCGAGAAAACTACTATAGCAAGAGCGAATCGATCAGATGAGCCTTCTTGTCTCGAAGTCTGTTAAAAGATCTAATAGTTGTGTGGAAACCCTCCCCGTAGAGGCAGTTAAATCTTGACTTAAAGCTTTCGTGACTGCGGGAATTCATACTCTTTGGGTCCTAGCCACTGTGATGATGATGGGAGAGCGAGGCAAGTTCAAAATATACAGCAGCAGGCATCGTCAGGGTTGGGATCGAACCCACGATCTCCAGTGTACCAGGCGAGGTGGTCAACATCTCGACACGAAGTAGCAGCCAAAGGAGAGAGCGAGCACCTGGCAGGATGTCATCCACGGAGATGGAACGATGACATCAGCTGGTGTGCAGGTGCAAGATAGATTATTGGATTGAACACGAGTACCGCCTGTAGGCTTATTTGCTTTAAGAAAAAAGTATATATCTTGTCCCCCCCCCCGGCATCACCTAGATTCCTGCCCAGTAAAGGTGCACCCTACTGGGGTCAGATACTAGGCCGCGATGGGTAGGGGAACGAGGAGGTTGGGAATGTGGAGAGCGAGGGCTGGGGGGGTCGTCAAAACGAATATAACCAAAAGATTCATTTTAAAGGGTGTTGGGTTGGATGGCGTCAGTATATATGTGTCGTAACCCTCCACCACCCGACACAGCGGGTAAGGTTTGTCACGGAAACAGAACAAATGGGCGCGTTGTTTACGTGACAAACCTTGCCCGCTCTGTCGGGTGGTGGAGGGTTACAACACATTTATACTTAGGGGCCCTCCATAAATGACGTCACGCACCTATGGGGGGGGGGGGGGGTCAGACATTTATGACGATGTGTGACGATGAGGGGGGGGGTGAGAAATATGTGACGTCACATCAAAATGCGCAACTTTAAATAAATGTAGACAACACGTTCTACTTCATTAAATATACTTTTTATTAAATGTTTTCTCCTACAACATCAGAGTGCAACGCCACATTAAATACGCACTACAATGACAATAGTTTAAAGCGATTTGAAGCATGTTTTTGTTTGGGGGGGGCAGAGCTTTGTGACGTCATATTTAAGGGGGGGTCTGCCGTGTGACTAGGGGGGGGGGGTAAAAAATCGTCCAAAATCGTGTGATGTCATTTATGGACGGCCCCTTTCGCGATCTAACCCAAAAACCTTCCTTATGAATAACCAAAATCGCCGTTTATTTTCGAATTCGGTGAAACAACAAAACACATTTCATGAGCCGCGATGCAACGTGAACACGAGAGCCGGTGGTCCTCACTAATTAACGTCACGAAGCAGTCAGTCGTCCTCACAGAGTCGCCGTTCTCTTCTTCTCCTTTCCCCGCCCCACACACCGCGGCATCTCCGATGATCAGCACGGCTGGGCCTACTTCGGAGTGCGCGAAAGAACGTTCAACATCCATGCGGGCTCGGAAGCCGGCAGGTTTTTGCCTTTGCCCCCCCCCCCCACCTTGCGTGGCGAATGGGCCCCCTTGGTTTTCTGTAATGCAACTCCAGTCAAAGGGTGCCTCCTAGGGGCCAATGGCACCAACAGCAGCAGCAGCAGCAAGGGTGGTGGGGCCAGGCCCATTCCCCCTCCCTGGGGTTGATTGCAGCTTTGAAAACCCGAAGGGGGCAGATGATTGCGCGTCTGATAAGCCAATTGTGGACAAACCACTGCGCCGTGACACAGGCGTCTAACACAATTACCTGTTCAAGCGTGGCTGTAAATATCGGATTACCGGGCGGGTGGTTGCTAGATGGCAACACGATTTTACTGAGCCCAGGCTCGGTTAATCGGGGGGGGGGGGGGGGGGGTGATGCCACGAATGTCGAAATGAAGAGACTGAGAATGAAGAAAGAGTGAGTTTTCGCGACACGTTTCTGGGACAATTGGAGCCAGAACAATGGGCAACATGCGAACGTGTGTGAAGAACTTCCACCACTGAGGCAGGCAAGCCATGGTGTTGTAGGTGGGCACCTACTACAGGGGTGAGTGCAAAGATTATTCGGAGATGAAGAGATTAAGCCAGATAAAGATGAGGGAGAAACAGCAGTAGAACGTTGGGATCTCACCGTTATTGTTAATGCGTGAAACACGCAATGGACAATTTCCAGATATTGGCACTTGAAATGTATTGCTACAGAAGGATACTGCTGCATCTAAAACTGGACCCCAAAGAGTGACCAACGTAGAAGTAAAGAAAAGTTTGCGCATAGAAGACGACGACCTGATGGTGCAGGCAGTGGTGAGAAGGAAGCTGCCACCATTTGGACACATGTAGGATGGACAACAACAGGGAAATTAAAAGTGTGTTGTTCGGAAAAATGGAAGGAACATGAAAGAGAGGAAGACCTCACAAGAGAATGGCTGAACAATGAAATCATCAGAGATTGGTGCCAGAAAGATGTGGCACTACTTGAGCATATTGGCACAAGACAGAGGAAAGTGGAAACCAGTGACGAAAGGTGCAGTGGACACTTAGGGCTATCTTCCTGTGGATCGTGGTGATAATGATGATTTAGTGACGTCATTCACGCACTTGTTGTTTAAACGATCATATCAGCATTTATATAAAAAAAAACTCAACATGTTTGTCAAAAACACTGTGGCCTTCAAACAACATATGTTTTTATCTTTACGTGCTATGAAGGAGGGCCATTGCTCAAAATGTCACCTTTTATACACTTTTTCCTTTTATTGCCACAGTGGTTTTGACGAAATTGTTGAGTTTATTTTAATTGTGTTTGTGCACCACTCCTGACGAAGCAGCAGCAGCGACAGCATCTCCAAATAATGAATAGCACTCTGAAGAGGTTGGCATCGCCGATAATTTAGCCAGCAGTGTCGTGCTTGTATCCCGCACCCGGGGTGAGTCGTACGCAAATCGTTTACCAGAACCGTGCGTGAGTGACGACTACTCGCGTGGCTGCTGACTGGGGTCGCGCCCGTGTCGCCGTTGCTGTGCGTGCAGCAACAAGGTGCCGGTGATCGCGGCGGGTGTGGTGAGCGGCCTCTTCGCCGTCTTCCTGCTGCTGCTGGCGCTCTTCGTCTACAAGCGACACCAGAACGCGCTGCGCAAGCGCACGCTGCGCAAGTACGTCGAGAACGAGGTGAGGGGAGCAGTCTCATGTCGCGCTGGTCGTCCCCGCCGACTGATCGACTTTTTTTTATTCCACTCGTGCCACGTGATTTCATGTATCCGCAAAAAAAATAGCAGACGGTAGGAGTTGTTAAACCCACGGGTATTAGGAGTTATTTAGCGAACGCATCCTATTCTTCACAAACACCCTTTTACCGCGCTTCAAACATGTGCCGTGTCGGAGCAGGCAGAGTCGTATAAAGTGGGAAATGGGATGAATTGGCCACACGATATCTACTTATCTCGTGAAAAAATAATCGAAAAGAGGATGTAGATTATCGTGGATAAGCACGGATAATAGGAAATCTAGGGCCACAGATAATCGGAGTTTGGGGATCATACAGCCGCAGTGGATAAAAGGAATCACGGATAATTGAGCCGTGGATATAAGGAGTTCTATTATTTGTGGGTCATACCAATCGGTGCTTTTGTTTTTGTGGCCCTGTCCAGGGTAGGGCATTAATCCGTGGTGCCATGACACCCTGTTGAGATGCTGCCCTGTTCTCAGCAGCGGCTGCTGTTTGTGGAGTAAACACTGGCACGGCCCCCCTCTCTCTAGAGGAATTCTGTGTAACTGCGATCATGAATTGGGCAGAGCGAGTTTTTGCGCAAAGTTTACAGTGCCCAGCCCAAGGGGCACGAAGAGCGGTGATGCAGGCAGTGGGGTAGAATTTTGCAAAACAAATTTGCAGTTAAAATACAAATTGTGCAGTCTCCTGGTGAGTAACAGTAAAAGTGCATCTGGAATATGTTATTCCTGTTCAAGGAGTGACTGACATCACGAGGTCACAACTTGCCATTACTTCCTTTTTGCCAGATCCTGTAACTCTTGTCCCTATGCGCCCAGGTCTGCTATGGCAGTCCATCACCTCGCCAACTGGGGGTCTTCCCTACGACCACTGACCTCTGGTTCATTAGCTCTAAGTGTTATCTTATTACATTATATTCCAATATTACCGTGAGGTTGTTAGCATTCTCCCAGCACCTATTCTCACTGGCCAGAAATTACAATTTCAGAGAAACTGGATTCTCAACTTGTTTATGACTTCATTCGTGGGTCTTTTTTAAGACTTACATATTCAGGTATGACTGAGCAAATACTCTGTCATTAGGCCATAAAGGCTACGTATCATTCTCTTTAGGAATTATTATGGGATACTGACTCTGAAATTCCCTGGAACAGCGGTGTACTACACGTAGAGGCAACTGGCTTTAGTCCCTCCTTATATACTAATATGTGACAAGGCAGCTGAGGCTGGGTTACGGATACACTGCTCCCTTCAATAGGGACCATGTTCCAGCAGTAGCTCAGGTCCGGTTCACGAGAAGCTAATCGCACAACACGTATTCGTGTCCGAGGTTGCATTTCGTGTAAGTGAGCACACAGTTTCGCTGTCTGCCGTCTGTTCCACGATGTCTACCTTTTTTTGCTGTGAGCGTCAAATTAACGAGGCTGCCGCTGCTGCTCCTTTTGTTTCGGCCACAGTTGGTGCAGCCGCTGACGCCAAGTGGAGCGCAGCCGAACCAAGCGCAGTTGAGAATCCTCAAGGAAACGGAGCTCAAAAAGGGGAAGGTCCTCGGCTCTGGGGCCTTTGGAACTGTCTACAAAGTGAGTGCAGCCACAGCGGCAACATTCGCACGTCTCCTTTGTGCAGCTGGGAACATACCAGGCACTCTGCTGTCATTGGCTGCCCATTCATTCTCAGCTACATGATTCTGTATACTCTCTTTGGTTCTTTCAGTAAAGTCACGTAGGTGTAAAATAACATAAATCACGACGTTTCGGGCCCAACACAAGCGTCCATCACCAGGTGTTGAACTTATTTCGCACTGGGTTTGACCCGGCCAGTCTGGGAATTCTCATATGTGTTTGGGTGGCAGGCGGCAATTTGTACCATCTGGTGGTGTTGTGTTGAAATGCATTTGAGTAGACTGGACGGTTTTGATAGACCTAGGCTGATTGGGAAATATGTCTGAGCTTGGTCCTCAGTAAAACGGTAAAAACCCGACATCACCTGCCATATTTTTCTGACCCGAAGGAGATGATGGGCGGTGGGCTGTGGGACGGTGGCAACCACGACCGTTGTAAAATGTCCGTCAATCTACGTATGTGTAGCGGTTAGCGCGCTGCGCTACGAACCCGGGGACCTGAGTTTGATTCCCGCTCGCGGCCAATACCAGTGGCGATTATCTGACCCGGTCCTGGGTCTCCCCTAGGTCAACTTAGCCTCAAATGAGTGTTTGGTGCAGTGTGTAAACATCGCCACTAGGAAGACAAAGGCAGCCAGATATGGTGCTGCCACTGACGCCCTCATGGGTCGTGCCAGACTTCATAGGTGCTCGCTAACAGCACGAATATTAGAGCTGATCCTGGCCTCCCCTAGCTCGACTCAGCCTTAAATTAGTACCTGGTGCGGATGCGTAAATGTCATGGTTGGAGAAACAACCATGAGGGATAATTATCACGAAACTAAAATGTGGCGCTTGGAATGCGTGCTTGTGTATCGTACTGGCGAGCCTGCCATGCCATGGTAACCCCGTGTCTTAGTGTGTTGAACGTTTTTGGCACCGTACCTAGCTAAGGAAGGAGAGCAAACTAAATACGAAGAGCAGTTCTAACGAAATGAGTTTTTACCTAGATTTAAAAGTGCATAGCTCAACTTGGCCTCCTAATATCGGAAGGGAGAGCGTTCCAGACGGCCGCAGAAACGCATTCGACAAAAGCGCGCGATGTGATCACCGTCTTTGATTCGATGGCCAGTCAAAAAGCCGCCGCTGCGAGGGTGACCAGAACTTTGCTTCCGCTGCAGGGAATCTGGGTCCCCGAGGGGGAGTCAGTGAAGATCGCTGTGGCCGTGAAGGTGCTGAGGGACTCGGCCTCCTCGAAAGCCAACAAGGACATTCTGGATGTACGTATTTAACGCAATCAAGTACACACGCGTTTATACATTTTCAACGAGCACCAAACGTTTTAAGTACTATTGAAGATGGGGTTATCCCCATTAACATGGTTGTTTTGAGTAATGGGGGAAAAAAACGTCACTCTTGATATTTGACTGTGGGTTGAATTGGGGTTTATTGTCGGCGTGATTGTGTACGGTGTTGCACTAATGTTCATTTGAACGGCGTTTCGCTAAGATTTGAACTCGGATCCACGCATATGTAACCCAGTGGGTGGCAGGGCAGGTCAGTGCTAACACTCGTGTCACACAGCAAGAAGGGGCTGGGTTTGATTCCCGACTGGGGCGGCTTTCTGTGTGGGTTTTGCATGTTTTCTCGCCATTCTGCATGGGTTTCCTCTGTGATCTCCTTTGCCCTCCTATAGTAACTGGCATTGGACAAACATTCCAATGCTGAATATTTACCAGCAATTTACTCAATTGGGATTACACGTCAACATTATCCTCAACTACAAACCATTTGCAGGACCCTCCTGAAAGAAAACAGTCTTGAGACTCAATGAGGCTTTCCTGGGTAATAAACCAGCATAGCAGTGCTCGCACACTGGGCCCCAACGTCTCATCCAGTGGCAGTGGAGCAAAGAGGACACCGCTCGTGGTTGTGTTCATGAGTCTGAGAGCCCAACTCGGGGTTTACGAGTTTGTCATCCCTCCAGAATCCATCAAACGATTCCTAAACTATGTTTTTGTGGTTGTCCTACGTATAGGCTGGCCCTTGGCACGGGAATGTGGAATTTATACCAATGGCTAAGGGCTGCTGATGGAGATGAGCATGGCGGCACTCTGCTCACACACAGCGGTCACCGCATCCCGAGCCGCGCGGTGTGGAATACCGGGTGTGGGGAGCAATTGGGCATGTGCTGAATCACACGCACACAGATCAAAGACTTTCTGCTTTGTCACAAGCGGCTGAGTGGTGCTGTGGTTAAAAACCATGACTTGTAAGTTCAAAACCTGGTGAATGAGTGGTGATAACTTAGCCCATGGCTCATTTGAGAATGGGGACTGATTGTGCAGGTGTTTGTGTTTGCTCATCACACGTTTCAGATCCCTGAATCGGCTATAACTTCACAGGGGCCACACGTTTTCACCCCAAAGCCACTCCACCCCAAAGCGATGGATGGCAGGGAGACAACAGGGAACAATTTAAACCAGATTGGCCAAGGATTTTTGTGTTGGCATGTCCAACAGAAATATGCTGTCCAGTTCATATGCCATACTTAATGCACCTTTCATCTTCAGTGTGCTGCTCAAATGGAATGTAGTAAAAAATATATTTGCTCTATATTTGGGCAAAATGCATTTTTTACTCCAAAGACAAATGCATAAGGCATGACTTGTTATGTAATTATCACGTCCATCAACGTTGCCTACCTAATAGTCCAGACACCAACAATGTGTCAAAATGTGCGGACCTTAACACATTCAATCGGACTGAAATGAATGTTTTGCAATTGCTGTGGTCAGGTTCTGGTCAAGGCTTCAAATGTGGAAAAGTTACATTGCCTGCATTGCAGAGCTATTGGCTTCTGCTTTTTCATTTTCAATATCCTGGGTGAAGCTAACCCATAGGGAATGGTGCTCTCAACTAAAATAAGTTTCCATGACCGAATGTGGGACGTTGCAGCTCCCGATGCCCTTTGCTGTCCTCATTTCAACGTGGACAGTGCACATATTGAACATGTTTCAAGCGGTTGCCTGGCGGCGGCTAAGCGCGCCTGTAATCCAGCGGTGTGGGGATGGCGAGGGTGGGTGGATCACACGCATGTTGTGAACCCCCTTCACGTGGGTGTCGAGGAGGAGCCATATCCTTTCTTCCCATGGGATAGAGTGTTGCCCCCTTGCACACAGGGGGTTTCTCCAGGTGCTCTGGTGTCCCAAAAAAACAAAGATCCCCCCGAATAGCCTGAACAGACTATTGGGGCAAGTGCTGTTAGCGAGTACCTATGGCACAGCACATGAGGGGGTGGGTGGCCAACACCACGCCAGGCCGCCTTTGTCTCCCTAGTGGGGACGTTAACACACCACACCAGATACTCATTTGAGGCTGAGTCGACCGAGGTGAGGCCCAGGACCGGTTCAGATAATGGTCACCGGTGTTGGCCGTGAGCAGGAATCAAATTCGGGTCGCCGGCTTCGTGGCGCATTGCGCTAACCGCTACACTACTGCTCTCACAAATAGACCCTTAATATACGTAGGAATGCAGAGCTTGGTGGGGGTGTCTGTGGTTCCTCCTCGTGCCTCGCAGTCGTTCTCTCTCTTCGAGAGCGAGCGAACACCGTGCCGCACGTTGCAAGTTGGAATTATTATTTGTGATAGTTGCCCGTCTGGGCTGCTGCCCTGCGCTTTTCCAGCATGGCACGCAGGGTCCCCAGCGTCCCTTAAGTGCCGCAGTTCGACTGGGTGCGATGCGCATTGCGTGCTGGAGTCGGACGCGGCTGGCGGGTGCCGCGTGCCGACGCGAGCCCTGCTAAGTGGGCAGCCCTGCAGGGACCGGCGCCAGCATCGACGCTAATGGAATCAACTCGTGCAAAGAGCAAATGTAGACCGCCACCCCAGCCAACAATGTATCGTATTGTTTTAAAAGTTTAATCCCGTTAATGTTTTACTTCCACCGTTGAGGTTGGCAAGACGACTCTGGAACGTGTTTCTTTAAAATTGACTCAATAGTTATTCTTTATACCTGGCCAAGCCTGCACTCCGTTAACAAGCCAAGCCAGCGCACCGTGTGTTCAACAATCACGCTCCGCGTCATGGGAGCCCAAGCGCAGTACCATACTCATAATAACGATCCCAGGCCAAGAAATGTAATCATTATAATAATTATAATGTCTAAGCATTTTTCAATCCACTGCAAGATGAAGGGCAGCCCATGCTGGGGTTGGCGAAGGGGAGGTTCAGTTATATTTCAGTTATATCCCACTCTGGCCACTGGCTTCATTGCACAGGGTACTTACAATTGCGCCACCACCACTACCCTCAAAATGTTGATGATGTTTACGAATCAACATTTTTTTTTCAGTAAGCTTGCACCCGATTAACGTCATATTACTTAACTCTAAACACGATTCGCATTTCATTCGCCCTCAACTTGCCGTTGTCTTTAGCAAGATGCATGTGGAATGAACTGCGCTCGGAGGTCGGCTCGCGTGGCTGCGCCTCGCGCGGGGCGCGATCTGCTCGTCCACAAACGCTGGGGACGTTTTGAGTGGTGTGTGGCGTCGGGAGATTCGCTTCAGCAAAAAAAAGGTTAAAAAGAAAGGTGACCTATTTCCAGCACGGGTTTAATGCACCGAAGAAGAGAGCGTGTGGTGGTGGTGCTGCTGCTGCTGCTGCTCGTCCTTATTGCCAGGTGCAGCATGCAAACTTGATTTGTGTCGTGGCACTCGCTCACGACAGATAGTTGCATCTTATTTATTTCATCAGGAAGGGTCCAATAAGCCGCCTGACTCTAATTCACAGGCGTCCTGCGAGGGTCACGCATTTGTAATTTTATTCATGGTGGAACCGCGGTGCCGTTACTCCAAGGGAATAGAAAGAGGTCTCTACAGCGGAAATGCGTGGTGTGACCCCCCAGGGATAACATGTGGGGGTCATGTGCACTATGTGGCCCGTGGTAACTGAGCCCAATCACCCAATCGTGGCGTCGCCCATGTTCAGCACCGACTGCCGTTACCGCCGGTCGACATCTGCAGCTGCACCGCCCTTCATAAACTCACCGGCAGGTGCCGACACGGTTCGGCCGTTCGCTTGATTCATCCAAGCAAAATGGAAATAAATTGTTCCGTCACTTTACGTTCCAGAAAAAATCCAGTCCGGACTAATAAATAATAATAATGACGAGCACGGAGCCAAAACCAGATGGTTGTTTCTGTGTTGTGGTCAACGGTTAAAGCAGAGACATTGCATCATAGCAGGGGGGGACTTCTAGGAGGAGGGATGCCAAGGATGCGTTAGAGTGGTGCAGCCCCCTCTCTAAACAACATGTCGCAATCGAGGAGTCGGCATTCCACCCTGCGCTCCCCCTGACGAGTACCATCCACGGGGAAAAACGTGTTCCTCCCGTTGTGCCCCCGTCACTTGAATCAATGAAGTTTAAAAGTAAGAAACGCAACATCATGCCGAAGGCATCTCGGGGCACTGTGGAAAATCCGGGGTTTCTTCGGGTCTCGCTCCACACAGCGGTTGAGCCGGAGGTCGCGGCTCTCGAGGTCGTTGTCTGGTCAAGCGTTTACACGACCATGACGTTCCGAAACGACGACGTTCCGAAATGACGACGTTCCGAAACTGACGACTAGGTTCCAAAACGACAACTACTGTAGCTTCCGCGATGGCGACATTCCAAAATGACATAATTACGAAACGACGACGATATACCAAAACAACGTTCCACAACAACGACGACATTCTGCGATGACGACGTTCCCCGACGACGTTCCACAACAACGACGACGACGACGTTCCACGCGCACGCTCGACCGCACGCTTCCGCCCGCGTTTTCGGCGGCCGAGGCGCCTCGAGCGCCATCGTCATCGGGGGCCCTCGACGACGGCCGCGCAATAAGCTCGGTGTGCGCGTGGCAGGAAGCGTACCTGATGGCGAGCGTGGACCACCCCCACCTGGTGCGGCTGCTGGGCATCTGCATGAGCTCGACGACGCAGCTCGTGACGCAGCTCATGCCGCACGGCTGCCTGCTGGAGTACGTGCGCGAGCACCGTGGCCGCGTCGGTTCGCAGCTCATCCTCAACTGGTGCGTGCAGATCGCCAAGGTGAGTGGCCACGCTGGGAAACGCGACCGTGAAGGGAGGGAGGGAGGGAGGAGTCGACGCGCCGAACCGCGGAGCGCGTTGCGAACCGCCGCCACCTTGCGCAAATTCAGCGGAGGCCGCAGCGGTGGCGGCACTTTGTTCAGCCTCACCTGAAGCCGTTGTGTGGCTTTCGTGCTCGGCCAATGTACGCTGTAGTTGCTATTCGTTGTGTTACGCTTCAAAATCCAAGGCCCTTGCCGATGGGTCTTATAATGCTTGCCGAGCTACTGGCACAAAAGGGCTCGAAATTCCAAGCGGACAGCCATAAACAGCGGTTTACACACCTGTGCTTGATCGCGCGTGGCAGCGAATGCACTTTGAAGGTGTGTGTGCGCGAGAGTGATTGCACGCAAAAAGGGGAGTCGATCATGAGCTCGAGCGGAGGATCATGGTTGGGTCAAACATGGAACCCATCGTGTTCAGCTTCACGTGTGTGTGAGTAGTGTGAAGATTGCCTCTCCAGTCGTTCCCAGTAGTTCATCTCCACTGCTTGTTACAGTGACTATGTCAGCCGCAAATCTGACATGGTTAACGACCTCTGCATTTATGTTCGTGCTTGTGTTTTCATCTCGTCCGTCTCGTGATGTCGCTGCGAACGCCGCCCCGAATAACTTTGGCGAGCGCGAATCTCTTTCAAAGCACACGGCCCATTATTAGCGCGATCGCGGTCATCGACGACGCAATCATCGGCACGACCGCGGCGTGAATCGCTTCTCTCAGTAACGCCGCGAGCTCGCTACATCCTCACGGTTTGTGGGTACCCCCCCCCCCCCGCCACCTGCCGCCACTGTGCCCCCCAGGGTCTCATGTACCTGGAGGAGAGGCGGCTGGTGCATCGCGACCTGGCCGCGCGCAATGTGCTCGTCAAGGCCCCCAACCACGTGAAGATCACCGACTTTGGGCTGGCACGCCTCCTCGATGTCAATGAGCAGGAGTACCAGGCCGAGGGGGGCAAGGTGCGTGCCCCCCACACGTCGCCGTCATCGCCGTCGCTCCCCGCAGAGCAGCACCGCGCACTGCCTCCCCCCCCCCCCCCCCCACCGCTAATGTGCAGTGCCGCAGTGCGACAATCGGCAGCGGGGAATTTCTTCTCGAAGAAGATCCTGCACGGTGTCAAGAGCTGAATAAACGATGTGTTTAGAACCGTGATTATGTAACTATGTGCAACCATTGTTGATCTCCTGATGCTTTTTTTAACCTATAAAGTTCTTACAATTGTGATCCTAGAAATTTGTTTTAATTAATTAATTTACCGAATGCTTTTACATGTGACTGTCATACAGTTAGAGCACCAGATATGCAAGAAAAATCAATAAATATGCTTCTCAATGTTATATTGTGAGTGGACATCAGCCCACGTCGCCACAGAGCCATGTGACAGCCTCCTTCTCCAGCACGTGCACTTAATGTGCTGAAAGGATATTATAATTATAATGACTTATTTACCCAGGAAGACATGCCGGGTCTAAGGACTCTTTTTTCATTTTGGCCCAGAATTGTTTTTCTTTTATATTAAGATGTTTTCAGTCACTTAATGAGCGTTTCTGCATGTGGGAAGAAACTGGAGCACCCGGTGAAAACCCACACGTGCGAGGGGGCAATGCTCTATCCCTTACAGAGGAGACAGACCATGTTTGTTTCTGCTTGCTGCACCGCCTTCTGGCGAGCCATGGAATGGCACCTCCTCGACTCCCATTGTGCACCCGTGAATATAAAAAGTTAAATCGTGCTTTGTGTTGCTCTTTCCAGATGCCAATAAAGTGGATGGCTCTCGAATCTATACAGTACAGAAAATTTACCCACCAGAGCGACGTGTGGAGCTATGGTACGTACCCGTAAGCCCCCTTGACGTAATAATTTACTGCCCATTGCTGGATGAAGGCCTCCCCACACTATGTTGACCATGAGAGTTGTTTTGGCCAAACTTTTACCATGCAGCTCAGCACGGGTTGGCAAAGTGGACGCCCAGAACCGGGAATCGAACTCGGGTCGCCTGGATATATCGTGCTGCGTGTGCTTCAGTGCTACCCCGCCTGGACATATAAATAGCGCGAGTGAAACTCATACCAATGAGATAATGTCATCTCAATTACTCAACAACGCTTTTTTATTTTACCACGTAAAGCCCACTGATTTTAAACCCTTATGTCGTAACCATTCTTCATAGTGGACGTCAATGTTCCCTGACGTCATTCGCAAGAGTAGGCCCTTGTGAGCCGACGTCAGGGTCCAATTGTTCCCAAATCGAAAATGACCGATAAATTACTGAATTGGGATTACACACACAGCAGCAATCATCGCCCCCCGACTGGCAGACTAATGCCCCAGGCCACCCTTGCATATAAGACGACTATCCCGGTCTCTTGAGTTCTCAGCTGGTTAAAAAAAAATGTACTTGAAACGTTTTTCCCGCTGGTGGTCACGTGACTATGGTGACCCTCGGTATTCAAAAGCAATAATTGGCATTAACCCGGCGAGATATGAAGAGAGAAGGATAGCTGGTGTTTTTGCTGAATTTGAAGAAAAAGCGAATATTCGGTGCACCTCCAGCATTAACGAATCCCTGCTTAAGAACTGTGTTTCCATCATTGCTCGTAACTAGTTGTTGATAGATATTTTTTGTTGTTGTAATATGATCGGTTGGTCCTCCGTGCCCATCCTATTCTACGGTGGGCACTGCATCAGAATCGAGTTGACGATGACGACGACAACAACGGCGGTGGTTCTCGTGTCACAGGCGTGACCGTGTGGGAGCTCATGACGTTCGGAGGCAAGCCGTACGATGGGATCTCTGCGCGGGACATCCCCGGGCTCCTGGAGAAGGGGGAGCGGCTCCCCCAGCCCCCGGTGTGCACCATCGACGTCTACATGATCATGGTGAAATGTACGTCGCAGCCCGCGGCCCGCTCCGCCGCCCCCCTTCCCCCTCCACGACGAGCAGCAGGGTACGGCGCAATGGAAGCCAACGTCTCCGCGCTGGCGATCGCCGTCATCGGAAACTGACTCGTGACGTCGACCCGTCGGTAACGCGCGACGCGGCCCAGGCTCATGGGCCCCCAGACCACGGATGTGCCGTAAGGTCAGCATGTCACCTGCAGCCCACCCTGAGTGAGGCTGACCGCGGCGCTCCGTGTTCACGAGCGCTGGCACGATGAGCCTGGCTGTTCTAGGACTGACCCACGAACGGCAACAACGAGGACCTGAGTTCCCATCCTCCATGGGCCGCTTGGCTTCATGAACCCAGCTGCTCACATATCCTTCCCCCTCTTTACCCCTCATAAGATTAATAATTACTTTAATTTGGTATCTGCACCATTCTTATAGCACAAGTCTATCGCAGAGGCACTGTGTTTCACAGATGAGCACGTCAGCCAGTTGGGGACGATGTTGCTACATTGAAAACGAATGTTTTTAGAACTGCTGTTGTGTCTAGTTTGTTATCGTTCACCCACACCTCCAATAAGCACGGTTGGCTACGTACGGTGCGAAAGAAGTTGAACATACAAACAGTATATATACTCTCCACCTCACGTGATTCATTCCTCAAGATTGGCTCTGGTACCCCAAAGGACGGAGCTGGTGATGCGGATTGCACGCAAGAGAGGACACAGTGCTCATGGTTATAATGGTGGCCATATGAAATAATATCAAGCGCATGTGCACAGAGCCATGGACAAATGGCTGTCAGAAAAGAAGAGATAAAGGCTGGCAGATGGTCACGTTTTAATTGTGGCATTGAGTTAGGCATGGACGCCACGGTGGCGAGATGTTAACTACCTCGCCTGGTATGCAGGAGGTCGTGGGTATGCTCCCGACCCTGTCGCCTGCTGTATATTTGGAGTTCGTGTGTCTCTCTCCCCGTGGTCGTGTGGATTTTCTCTGGGTTCTCCAGTTTTTCCCTTAACATTTGGAAGGGATAATAAATACCAAATGCATTTATTTAACTTTTACAATCCTGATCCTCCGCGTCAGATAGCTTCTTGGTTGAGGGCGTGATCGCAATGCTGTCTGCTGGATATATCACTGCAACATGCGCACTTGCTGAGTATCCGTATGCTTTATTTTATGCTGATCGGTCAATCATCGATGTTTGTTATACATTTGTGTCATGCATTTGTTTGACATTCTTCAGCCCTTTGGAGTGCAAATATATGCATTTTATATTCATATGCATTGATTGGCTGGTGGTGCAAGGTATGAACCAGTTTAATGTTGTTCACAACATGTTCATGTGAATGGATGGCAGGGTGACATCGTGGTAACACGTGTGCCTCACTCAAAGAATGTCCTGGGTTTGATTCCAAACTCTGCGTGGAGTTGCAATGTTCTCCCCCTGTTCTGCAGAGTGTGAGTGAATGTGAATGGGCGTGGTGCTGGCCTTCATAGGTGCTCACTGACAGCACTTTCCCCAAGAGCCTATTAAGGCTATACGGGGGGATCTTTTTTTTTTGTGAGTGCATTTTGTATGCCCCCCCTCTTCTGCATGGGTTATATCAGGGTTTTCTGGTGTCCTGTCATAGCTAACATTAAAACGACAAAATGTATCTGGTATTGGCCAAAACATCCCAATGCTGAAATTGCTCATTTGGGATTACACCCAGCAGCAAGATGTTGGTAGGGAGGCGATGGCCTCCCTACCACGGAAACTTGACAGGACCTGGCGAGACTCTTCTGGGTAAAGGAGCATGACTAATATTTATAGAAAAAATGTTGCCCGTATCAGAAATGATGAAAAACAAGAAGAAGCGTGACTCTCTCTGGCAAGAAAACTGAAGTTGTTATACGCAGCCACTTTTGGAGGCTTGCCCCTCTTTTCTCTCCGCCTTGTGTTGCGATCGTAACGTCGTGGGCTTTTTGCTTTTACATTTTTTTTCTATCTCCGTGACTTTACCGAAAGAACCAAGAATATTAGGATTTTCAACACCAAATAAATACATTTTGCAAGGCATCAAGTCTGCATTAAACACACATTCTCTGATAATATAGGCATTGGCTTGCACCAGAGACATCAGCCTTCTGTATGTCGTTGTCTCACCAATGTGAGACGAGAAAACGCCACGAGGCGAGTAGTAAACAAGACGATGCCACACGTATCGGAACGCTTCGAGCTCGGGTCGAGCAGTTATATCAACGGGATCTTTTTGCCAGTCTTGGTGTGCTCTGAGACTGTTTTTGCTGATGTTTGTCTGCCTTGCCCAAGCTTGGAAATTGATGTACTTATGCAATTCTTACTTATATACTTAATGTATTAGTAATTACAATTTTATTTTAGTGATTAGCTTACCTTTTCTATACATTGCACTGTTATTGTTTTTTAATTTTTTTATTGTAACTTTCTAACCTGCCCCTATTGGACATTTGTGAAAAATAGCTTCATAGCTCATCGGATTTCACCAGGATAAATACAAATTCAGAAATCTGGTCACGGTTTCTCCATTCAGGTTGGATGATCGATGCTGAGTCCCGGCCCCGGTTTAGCGAGCTGGCTACCGACTTTTCCAAGATGGCTCGTGATCCTTCCAGATACCTGGTCATTCAGGTGATTACACACATACACACATACACACACATACACACACACACACATACACACACAACACACATCTTGTGGTAAATCAGACTGTTGCTTCAAGCATTAATGTTCACATTCCTTAAAATGCCGTTATCGCTGCCACTGCTGCTGCTATAGGGAGATGAGCCTATGGCTTTGCCAAGCCCCACGGACAGCAAATTCTACAAGAGCTTCCTGCAAGATAGCAACGATGAGCTGGGAGTCGTCTCCATGCAGGAGGAGACCTTCCTGAACTCCTCCACGCGCCCGTTCCACCTCATGCCTCCGCCTTCGGGCCGACGGCATGGCACCGCCACACTGGTGAGTAGAATGGCTCCCAGCTTCACCTACGCTGATGGGGCCGGGGAAAGCTCTGATGTGGCAACGCCGGCTCTTCTCCGTTGACAAATGAATCACAGTCGTGATTGGTGGCTTTGTTTTTTACCGAGCATCTAATGCGGTAAATGCCTCGTTTCTATTAGTGTTGCAATATGCATTGAGGGGTATTGACGTTGTTGTTCATGTGCTCACACGCCACCTATCTCCCTTTGTATAACAGCCTAGAGCTGTTATATGATAAATAATATCGTATATTTCTTCCTGCCTCAGCAGTCCGCCTGCTGTACTTTTTTCACCTGAAGACGATTGCTTGTGTTGCGATCGAAACGTCGTGATTTTTAATTACTTTATTATTTTTCTATCTACGTGACTTTACCGAAAGACCCAAACAGTATGAATTCCTGCAGTCACGATAGCTTTAAGTCATGCATAGAGCTGGCTAAATTGGACCATCCATGTAACGAATCAATTAATACTCAAAACTCAGGTAAATCTTACAGCTCTGTTTAATGCAAGACCTACAGCCCCAAAGTGACTTTGCGACTGTAGGGAGCTAACAACAGCCACTTAAATCATCAGAAAATCACGTTCAAATAACACACAAAAAACTAAACACGTTAATCAATTTATAACACTGCGGTCTTAAAATGAAAAATAGGCGATATTTCGGGAAATGGCCCTTCTGCAGAGAGGCCAGAGAGGAAGGTCATCGAGCCCCACTCTGGCCGATATACGAGGGCCATTGGCTGAAATGTTTTCATATGATCTAAAATTAACGTTCAAACTGTAGATATAGAATTTGAACTGGGAAGAGGCTGTCACAGCAGCCTGGTTATGAAATAATGACACGCAAATCGCGGGGTCTTGTTCACGAGATAGTGCAAGCTGTCTTTTTTCTGCCTTGTGGTGTAAATACAAGAGTGTTTGAATAAATACAGCAGCAGAAACATTTCCCTGCCCACCCTAATGGTTTCCGCCCACCCGTAAACACTCGTGAATTTTCCAATAACAATTTCGTATCTCATCCTGCCTAATGGCCATCCAAGCATTGATAACACGACATTTCCTCTCCCTTAACCCATTTAGAACCACCGTGCTCTACTTCCCCACCTTCCGCTCTCCTCCACCTTCTCCTCCCCCCTCCATATCTTCCCCACGCTCAGTCTAACTTCGATCGCTTCAGTCCGAATTCTTGGCGTCACCTTTGAATCTTAATTTTCCTTCACTTCCGACATCGCCAACACCGCTCGCACATTGCCGCTTCCATCTTTTAAATATCAGGAAAATTCACCATCACCGCTGCCAAACGTCTTGTGCACTCCGTAGACTTCACTCCTCTGGATTATTGCAACTCGCTCCTGGTCAGTCTCCCTGCTACACCCTTGCCCCTCTACAATAAATACAAAATTCGGCTGCATGCACAGTCCTTAACCTCCCATTCCACCACTCATTGCTCCCCACTCCTTCAACAACTTCACTGGCTTCCTATCTGTCACCGCTGCCTCTTTATATCGCTCACCTTCGTTTTCAAAGCTTTTGCATGGACTGCCCCCTCTCTTACCTATTCTTCTCTCATTTCCTTATATGTCCCATCACATCCGCTGCGGTTACAAGCTGCTTATCTTCTGGCTGTCCCTCCTCCACCCTGTGCCCAATCCCGCTTTCACTCCTTATCTCAGCTTGCCCCCTTACACTGGAACAAACTCCCTCTCCACATCCGACTCTCACCCCCACCCCTTGCTTTCCTCTCTTCGCAATGCCCTCAGCTCCTGTCTCTTTTCTCTTCTCGCCTCTTCCCGTCCTCTCCCGCCACCCCTACCAGCACCACCTAACACCCCTAACGCCCCACCGCCGCAGCCTCCACCTCGCTCCCTCCACTCTTTGTCACTACCCAATCCCCATCCCATATCTTGCCATTTTGTACCGTAGTCGGTAGGCATTGTAAAGCGCCTTGGTGAAGGGTGCTTTATAAATCCAAACAGAATAGCATATATAAAGGACCGGCAGAGCTTGGCGGGCGGGGGGGGGGGGGATTTGGTACCTGCTTACCGCGTCCCCTCCTTTCCCACGTTTCTTCTCCTGGCGAGTCGGGGTATGGCTCTTTGACTCCCACAGGAAGAGAGTTTCACACCGTTGGTGTGATCCTCTAATGTTGTGCTGGATTCCGAGCCACGTGCGTAACCACCGCCGCCCGGCTATCACAGAACGTCTCGCGTTCATCCAAGGTGATGTTTTACAAACGGCTTGTTGTTTGCAGGGCAGCAAAGATGGGACTTCACCTCCGCCACCCTACACGCCAATGTCTGGGGTATGCGCTTTCACCGAACCCTTTTCCAAGTCCTCAAAACGCATCATTTTCCACTTTCGAGCGCGGCGCAGATTATTATCTGTGTCGCGTACCGCATGCAAATATTTGCGAAAGAATGGGGTTGTGATCGACAACACATGGACATTTTTCATAGAATCCGGAACACATTGTGCCCTTGATGCAAACCACATTGTGTTTTTTTATTGAAACCTTTTAAACGAAATTGCGAAGCCGGACAATCGATGTTTTATTGGCTCGCGTCCTCTAGCAGGAGCCAAGAGATGCGACAGTGGAGATAATTGCACCGTTAAGGTATCACATCGTTATGTCAGAACACGGTTGAATGTATCGCGATTAAATTACAGCCTGTTCTCTTACAACGCGGTAGTGGTTGCGTTCCTGAAGAGCACCGTGTTATGGAAAAATCGCGTTAGAATAAATAATAGATAATGTGGGCTAAAGCACAGTCCGCGATAACACGTGAGATGCGTACGCAGGCTGAACAAAGACTGAGGCACGTGGGTAGCATCTAGAAGCATCCAGCAGTATCCCAATGCCACGTGCGATGCTTCGCCGAGGCAGCCGTACGACCGCTGATTCCTACTCGAGCGAAGTTCACTCAATCGCGTTATATCCAATTTGCATCCGCATTGTAAAAAATGTGTTCCCTCATACATTCATCGCGTTATATCCAATTCACGTGATGAAAACAACACGTGGCGTTATCGGAGAACGGACTGTATTCAGGTTTAACACGTAGGCTTTCGCGACCAATATTATTCATAATAAAGCTTTTTGGTTAGATCGCGTTATTTATAAATGTGTCGTAACCCTCCACCACACGACAAGGCCAGTACGACGTTTCGCTGATAATTGCATCCAGCATCATCGGGCAATTCGCCAGAATTCTGGTGGGCTAAAGTAGTGAACTATTTGTCTTTTGTCAACGTGACACTTTTTTTTGCTGATTGGCCATGTCGGTGGTGGAGGGTTACACACATTTATAAATAACGCGATCTATCCCAAAAACGTTATTATGTATTCAGGTTACACTCAGTTTAACACGTAGGCGTTTGCGACCAATATTATCCATTATTATCCAGGTTAAACTCTGCAGGATGGGGATATTCTGAGTTCGGCAGTAGGAACCATGGAGCATGCAGGTCTTGGAGTGGAAGAGTGCAGGTGTGCATTATTAATGCTCACATTAGTTCAGTGGAAACTTCTCAGAGGAAATGCAAGCATTGGCTGGTACACAACCTGTGGTGTTTTACAACACGAGAAAATGCCCGCGTTCGAACGACTAACATCAGCCTTTCCCCCGCGCGGCATTGCCCACGATGCACCGGCAGCGTTAGCGTCTGGCACCGCCAGCAGGTGGAGATTGTTTTGCCAGACACGCGCACAAATACACGCGTGGAGACTCATATTGAAACCACCAAGTTGAACTCGGGGTATGGTGGAATGCGGGGCATGCTGGGAAGGCTCACAGAAATTATTAAATAATGTGAAAAATAGTTTGGCTGTAAGATGTTCATGCACCAATGGAGCGGTACGCAATGGGATGCGACATTCCGCTGTCAATCAACGTGCATCCAGCCCCACCACGTGGTCTGCTTATCGTTACTCTTATCAATTCATTTTGTGGTTAATATTCATTTCTTATATTTTTTTATACATTTTATTAATTTAAGTGTTATTTTATTTACTGGAAAATGAATGTGAAAGAACGAGGGTGCAAGATCGTCACTATAAGGACGGATCGGAAACGTGGGAGATGGACAAATAACTTTGCATAAACAGCTGAAAACTATTGGAAAGAAGCACAGAAATGCATGCTGGGAATGACATTGAAAGATGGAAAGAGGAACAAGTGGGTCAGAGAATATGTGCACGTTAACATCACATTGACTGTAAGAAAAGTATGGGGCGCCATGGTGGCGAGATGTTAACTACCTCGCCTGGTATGGGGGAGGTTGTAGGTCCGATCCCGACCTTCACGCCTGTATATTTGGAGCTTACATGTGCTCCCCGCGGTCGCATGGATTTTTCTCTGGGTCCTCTGGTTTTTCCCTCCGCTATGCTGAGCACGTGGATTTCCACATGCTGAGTATAGTTTAGCCACGTCGCTCCGCAGAGTGTTTTTGGGGCGTTTTGACTTTTTGCGAAACAACCTGGAGGGGGGGGGGGGTTCTGACGAAGCGACCGTGACGTGGTGCAATCCCACAGAGCGTTGACTTCGAGCCGGATTGCGGGACGCCTGCGGCGTGCGACCGGAGCATCAGGCGCAGTCTGTCGCGCCGCTCGGAGACGTTGACGGACGCCGGGCCCCGCGGCGGCGGCGGCGGCCACGGGGGGCGCGGGACGCGCCGACCCCGCGGCGCTCGGCAAGTGGCCGGCTTCCCGCGGCCTCCTGGAGCGTGGCCGCCGGGACGGCGCGGAAGACGCGGAGGGCGGCAGCCTGCGCTACAGCCGGGACCCGACGGATGCCTTCGCTGAGGTGGAGTCCCCCGACTGCGATGGCTACGTGTCGCCCTTGCCGTGCGGCCAGACGCCCCGCGAGACAGGTCTGCACCCGCTGCACTCGGTCCTGCACCCCTTCACGTGTGTCCACCGGCTCTATGCGTCAACCAACTGAAGCCCTCCCCTTACATCACCTGACTCTTGTGCGGCCACCCCTGTCATCTGTGTGAGAGGGGGAGGGATGCTGTTTGTTGTCCTTCACCCACACCTCCGATTAGTGCGGTTGACTACATGCGGTGCGAAAGAAGTTCAACATACTATCTCTCTATCTAGATCTTCTCAAGCCTCCCGTACATCACGTGACTTCTATGTGACCACCCCCACCCTGGATCCCTCCCCTCTCATCTATATATCTCTCTATCGATCTAAATCTGCTCACGCCTCCCCGTACACCACATTACTTCTGTGTGGCCACCCCCACTCTGAATCCCTCCACTGCTCCCCGCCACCCCCTGTGAGGAGAGACGCTGCTCAATGCAACGACGCCGAGGGCCTCCTCCTCTCGCCTCTGCCTCCATATTTTCTTCTTTCCTGATCCTTTGTACACTTTTTATGTTACTTTTCCATCCCTTTCCTCTTATTTCCCGTTCTTTCTCTTCTCTCTTCCCTATTCCTTTAATGTTTTTTTTCCCGTTCATTATACCGCTGCCTCTACTCCCCTTCCCGTCGTGCCCCATGGGTACACGTTTAATGTTTATTTTATTTTGTTGAACGAGGTAAGAACTCATGAGACCAGGATAAGGTCTCGTTGTTTCATGAGGCTATCTGTTTTTGATATATGTTTAGTTTTATGAAACAATAGCTATTTTAGTTAACAAAAATACATCAACAAAATAAGCTATTTTTGCAGATTGTTTCAAATTTTGATTTAAAGCTTTCGTGACTGCAGGGATTCATAGTCTTGGTTCTTTCGGTAAAGTCACGTAGAAGGGAAATACGAGACTTTACCGAAAGAACCAAGAATATGTTTCAACTTTGTTTCAAATTGATGGAATAACCATTCCCGGTAATTTTTGACGTTAATTGGATGAACCCCAAAGTCATCAGAGTTAATGTCTGTGAGCTCCTCACCGTTACCCTACGAGCACATCACCGTTTCTCTGCGTGCTTCTCCCATGTTGAACGGTCTGCGCTTTAATTGGCCGGGGCCACACCTGGGTATGGCTCACTGAAGGCAAACTGTGTCTGCGTCTCTCGCACTGTGGGCTGCCTTGATCCTCTTCTGGAAGGATTGTTGGCCGAATGGTGAAGCTGCAGTTGTCAGCTGGAGGGAGCGAACTCGTCCTCATAACTGTCACACATGCGCCGTAACCTTTACGACGGGCTTTCGCAAGATGATTTTGATCGGCATCAGTAAATATGTCTGACATTTTAAAACTTTTAAGTTCACTGGTCATGACGTCGTGTTCTGGGGTAGGGTGCACTAATTGAACCGTGCAGCCACATTTCACATGCTCCACTTGCATCCACAGCCAACGTGAACATTCAAACAGCAGTTTCAATAAATCGGTATTTGATGCAATAGAGCTGCCTTGGTGTAAGAGTTAACGCACCGAACTTACCATCCAGAGGCCAATGGTTCACTGCTATCGCCCCCCCCCCCACGGCCTTTGTTCACCCAGCAGCGTAACGTCGAACACCACAGGCAGTAGAGTGGCAGGTCACGTGAGGTGAGGCAAATGGTCAACGTGGAAGAGTAGACCAAATACCCCCCGAGCGTTCGCTCTGGGCGAAGCCCCTTTTACCAGCAGCAGCAGCAGCGGCGGCGGCATGGGCTAGCACTTGCAGGTTTGCACCCTTCACGCCTCTCGTTGACCAATTTGTGCCTTTGTCCCCCAGAAACTTCCTGGCCTCTGCCGGCAGGGCCTCCGCCGGGCCAGCGATGGATGCTGGGAGACGGCCCGTCGGAGTACTCCGTGCCTCCGCTGCGTGAACCAGCTCTGCCGCCCTCCCGCGCCGTGCCCGGCAGCCCCGGGGGGGACGCCCGTTCGGACGTCGGCCCCGAGGGCCGGGGCGACGGAGAGGCGGAAGACGGCGCAAAGGGCGACGCTTCGCCGTTGGACGGCGCCGCCGGGGGAGTGGGTGGGCACCCGGATGAAGCGCGCGCGCTCAGGGGGGCGGAGTACATGGAAATGGACGGATCGCCGGACGAGAGCGCCGAGTACCTGTCGCCGCCCGTGCCGCAGCCCGCCTTCAGGGTGGCAGACGCCCCCGGCGCCAATGAGAATGGGCACGCGGTTAGCAGGAGCCACGACAGCCTTCCCACGGAGGCGAACAGGGACAGCTTGGGCACTCCAAGCTATCTGCAGACGGCGCTCGCCCTGCCGCTGTTCAAGCCCGGCCGACATGTCAAGTTTTCCGCCGCGGAGAACTTGGAGTACCTGTCGGATTTCGCGTGATCGCGACGGCTTCAGACGTTTGTGAAGGGGACGCGCAGGCTACCCTTTGCAGTTTACGTGGGGGCAGTCGTCGCGATTGGGAAGGGTTGGAAGAAAAAAAAATACGTACAGTTTTAATGCCGCTGTCATTGGCTCCGTTTCACACACAGATGTCGTACAGATGCCTTTTAACACAAACTTACTGCGGTATATGGTAATATTTGAATATAACAGCAGGAAAATGTTATATTCGCCACACCTGGTCACATAACAAAAGCCAATATTGTAACCTGAAACTGTGAAACCTTGTCACTTGGATTAACACAGACATTACATCACCGCTTGCATAAATATGCGAATGTCTATGTGTAAGTGGTAGCGATGCATACAAATGCATACGTAGTTCAGTCATGCTGTTTATTATTATCATTAGATTACTCACATAGACAACTGCTCTCATTAAAGAAAATGCAACCAGAGAGCCACGGGGTCATTAAGATTAACACCCCCCCACACACTCGAGGGTGAATTGCGAACAGCATAGCTGCATGGCTCGGAAGCAATATGAAGTGTTGTGTGTCATGTGCTGTGTGGCACTGCGATTTGAAGCACCCGAGCTTGCAACCAGTGGGGGTATTAACTCACCCTATCTTGCCTCCAGAGTGAGTACAATATGAACCATTTTACTGATGTAGGCAGCAATGGTCATCCGGTGGAGAGAATAGCCCCCTAAGTCAGGAATGGGGAAAGGCCGCCGCTGGCTCAGGACTGCCCCATGTCTCCTCGGACACGTGGAAATGCTTCTTCTGGTGTCTGCCTGGAATTATCTGTGAAAAGCTAAACTTGAATGTCAAGGTGCCATGAGCCACGCCACGGCTTCGGGTGGCGGTGCCGTTGATGAAATTGAGGTTTTATTGAAGTGTCGCTGTGGGCGACTGATGATGATGGGTTCCATTATTTTATTACCGTCTCCCCAGTGTTTGGGAGACAGCAGCACTAATTGTAAGAGGGGTCGCAACCACCGCCGTTGGGAAGATTGAGTCGGCGAGTGGATAGGTTGGGGCATCGCCTTGTGCTCGCTAATCACCACGATGAGAGGATTGCACTAGAATAGAAGTGATTACATTATATCGCAATCTGTTATGGACAACATTGCCCACACTCTAAAGCAGAGTTTTGTAAATCCCAGAGCTGAGTGATGCATGAGAACTTGTACCAGCCAAAATGAGAGGTTAGCCTTCCCCTCCAGTTCCGATGACGTCTTTTTGACCTCTCTGTTTGCCTACCAAGTTCTGCCCACCGTTGGCAGGGGTCGTGACGACTGTGTAGCGGACTCTGGGTTTCCGTGTACTGATTCACAGCCACTCGTTTAAATCAAAGTCCCCAATCGCCAACCGAGTTCTTGTCGAGCGGTGACCAGAATCGTAGGCCACGACCGAGTTCGGTGAGCAGTCAGTGTTTAAGAGCCATTCGGCTCTTAAATCGGGTGCAACCGCAACAAACAAAAACATGAACAAGAAAACATCTTAAAGTGACCACGCAAACAGAAGAATCCAGGAAAAAACAGCAAAGTCTTCCAGAAAAAGCACCGCATATCAACGCTATGTGCAAAAATCCCAGTGGGATGCAAGTCAAACAATAACAACCATAAGACAATTTAGATTCAAAGTCACGGAACGTGGTGGGGGAATTGTATTTGTTCGTCGCTGTTCGTGTGAGAGGGAGCTCGACCACGGCGATGACCCTGACTGGGCTTTGAAGGTCACCGGACCTGCAGCGACGAAGATCGGCAAAGTGATGCTCTGACGGCAATGCTGCGGTGTTTGATATCGACGAGTTGAACGGATCATCTGGTGACGCTGCTGCATTGGCGAGCGGTGCACGCGCACAAGCAACATATAGATACTGACAGTAGCCTTTAAGGCAGCGTTGTTGACGAGTGTGTTGAGCTATTTGATATTAACACGGGGGGGGGGGGGGGCGGTTATATGTAGCATATTCTCCATCACAGTTGACTCGCGACGGCCTGGTTGTAAACTAAACGTAGCTGCTAAGCCACAAGCAATGTCTTGTCATTCTCCACCGAGTTCGTCGTTTTATTATTATGCTCTTATACAAAGTAAGCGAAGAAGGGAAAACACCTCGCCGTTTAAGTTATTTTCCAGGAAACATTGCAGTATTTAGTGTTTGTGTGTACAGCGTTTATGGGTATTATCAAGCATTAATTTTGCTCGCGTTCAGGCTTAGAGTTGGTGCACTTCTGATTTTGGCATATTTGATCAATGTGCTTGACTGAAGATATATGATCTAATCCCTGTTTAGCTCCTCCGTTGTAATTAATTATCATGATCATAAACTATGTGGAAATGCCTCTACGTTAAATAATAATAATGCAAAAAGCAAGTGGAGTATTGTGGTGACATT